GTGACGATGAGAAAGACCATAAACCAGGGATTCCTTCGGGAGCATGTAAGATTATATCCAAAGTTTGTTCGCCAATGGGGTGTGTCTGGGTGTCAAAGATCTTCAAGGTGGGTGCTACTTGTGATGAACTCTAGAAGGATGGGATGGTAATACTCGGTCTGGCCGTCTGGAAGCCCATAGAATTCCAGTTCAGAAACCGAGTAAGGAGGTGCGGCTACTGATGAGAAGCCTCCTTAAAGTTTATTTGGGTTAGAAACGACATCTGGGTCCCTACCCTCGCACAAGATTATTCTCAATTTTCTTGTTGTGTCCACAACTAATTCAGAATGACCTAACAGAGGACCCTGTGTTTAGAAATCTTGTAGACACTGAACTGCTTACTCGATTTTCACTAAATTCCTAGAGTAGATTTTTTTACTCACGCTCAAGTGAAAATCGGTTTTTCTGAATTTTTTCCAAAAATAAGCATTTTGGGCTTTCATGACCTTCATAGTACTAATATAAACATGTGTATTGCGGTCATTTTAAACTCAAATTTGAGTCTCTAAAACCTTCAGAAGCTGAGATACATATTTCCCATATACGCACCTGATATGAAATATGGGCTTGGCTCCACAAGGTTGGGACTAGCGACACAAAATTCCCCCCTCGGTGATTTGAGTTACCAATGACCTATTTAACCCGATTCAATAGCAAAAAACTCTATACATCGAAGCGCACACTCAACACCTCCCTGCTACTGGAGTATATGTCGGAGGAATCTTTTTGGCTTCCCTAGGAGGAAGTGATATAATCAGTTTACTTAGCATTGACTTGACAATATTTTGATAGCATAAATCACACAAGTACTGAATTACGTTTGAGTAGGAAAATCTCTACAAAGGACAAGACAGAATGGCCACTTCTTTAAGCTCATTCGCTTGTGCCGCTCATTCGCTTGTGTGTATGCATTCACTAGCATTGTTAGAATTGTTAGAATGTGGTATTTAATGACCTTAGGTTCGAGACCTATTGTTCTAAATTTCCCTCTCAAGCGATTTGGACACCAAATCTGGAGTCTCTTGTAATGTCACTTGGAAAATCTATATTCATAAGACAGTCTGCGCTACTAAAAAAGTTCAGGCCACCATGGGGTATAAGTGACGTTTAACATGCTATTTCAAAGGCTACAGACATTGGGATCATGTGAACCCTCTCTGTACCGAGTGTTTTCTATAGTCTTATAGATTAACTTATACCGTGAACTTTAAAGGTCCAGTAATATAAAGAGAGGTTTGACTGTTTTGTGTGACAGTTACCGCGTCTTCTATATCACAGTTTCTACCTGATCAGTTATGGATAAAATTAGCCGTTTATCTGCATATCATAGTAGATGGCTAAAATTCAGACTGGAAAAATTTCCGTTTTGTGTTATATGTTATCCCTTTTCTTTAATGTTTTAAATAAAAAGGGATCAAATGAACATTTTCAAATCTTACAATCTATAAACAGATTTAATGATTAAGACAAGACCCTCAAATTTAAAAGCCATTTCTCCTCATTGTCCTTCTCATTGAGGCCTGGTTACATCAGAAATTGTCACATTCTGTTCTTGTCTATGCTCCATGTTCAACTCTGTGATCCTACATGACCCTAGCTCTAGGATTGTTCTACATATTTTAATCAAATATTTTCTCATTTCTGCGTTTCTGATGAAGTACACAATTGGGTTACTGGCTGAATTGAGTGGAAGTAAAATGTACAAACATGTCATTGCAAATGCCCCTGGAACACACTTGTTACCGCTGTTTTGAATCTTATCTCCGCAATTGAAAAGGAGTCTTCCGTAGATAACCAAGAATCCAACGTTGAAGAAACAAAACAGCATCGATAGTATTCCCATTGTGATAGTCGCATCCCTTTTCCAAGAAACCATCTGTGATGAAGCAAGCTTTGCGATGCAAAGGCCGTTGGAAAAAATAACAACGACAAACATGACGATTAAGATAATAAAATTAGCAATTCTAGTAATATTGGTCATTGTTACAAAAAATATCAAAGTTTGCAAAATAATAGAAACCGAACAGAAACATATTGATGCTACAATTATGATGTTGTTGTTCAGTTGATGATGTGGCCAGATGATGCTTATTGATCGTATCATCGAAAGTAGGCATGTTATGAAACCTGTACACCCAACCAAAAACATGAAAACACTCATAATCACTTCACGAATTTCTTTATTTGTTTTTCCCTCACTAAGGTAATCAAGCAGCAGCCATCCCATTAGAGAGATACACACAAGAATATCAAAAGAGTTCAGAAAAATGAATAGTCGCTTGTTGAGGGTCTCCGTCGTGTTTATTCTATCGTTGGACCTTCTTTGAGTAACGTAGTAAGACAGAATCAGCACATTTACACCAACATGATAAGTGTTGCACTACAAGAACACCGCATTAAGAAGAACACCGCATTAAGAAGTCTACTTGCCACTGGTAAAGCCCCGGAAGAACTGCTTGTCACCGCGATTCTCCCTATACCGAAAGGTGCTAAAAGGTTCTGTCCTGAAAACAGCAGAGGCATATCCATCCTTCCTGTTGCCACCAAGATCTACAACAGGCTGCTTCTCAATCGTATCAGAACTCATATTGAACCTCGCTTACGGTACAACCAGAATGGTTTCCGTCCTGGAAGGGGCACTCGTGAACAGATCTTGGCCCTTAGGCGAATAATTGAAGAAGTCATCAACTTCCAGCTCCCCTGCGTCATCTCCTTCATTGATTTCTCTAAGGCGTTTGATTGCATCTTTAGATCTCATCTTCCTAACATTCTGGCGTCCTATGGCTTCCCTAAGATAATAATCAAAGCCATTATGTCCCTTTACATCAACACCAAAGCCAAGATCATGACCCCTGAAGGTACAACTCTTGAATTCCTGACCAACCTTGGAATTCTCCAGGGCGATGTTCTTGCTCCGCTTATCTTCATTATCGTCCTGGACTTCATTCTTAGACTGGCAATAGGTCCACACGATGGGCTTAAAGTAGGTTGTGATTACATAGCAGATTTGGACTTCGCCGATGACTTAGCTACAATCACACCCAGCTTCAGCGATAACAGCCGCCTCTGTCAAAGTATCTCTGACATTGCAGCCCGGTATGGTTTACTCATCAACATCGAGAAGACAAAATACATGTCCTACAACCTACCACGGCCTGTTAACTCGGATGATAGGGTCTTCATTAACAGCAACCCTCTCGAAGAAGTCCACGACTTTAAATATCTAGGATCCTACATCGCTTCAACCAGCAAAGACATCAATGTCAGGAAAGGCCTTGCATGGAAAGCACTTGAAAGTCTAGATGTTTTCTGGAAATCTGGCATGTCTAGAAAGATCAAGACTAAAATTTTCAGAACTGCAGTCGAGCCTGTTCTTTTATATGGCGCAGAAACATGGACTTTGAAGAAAGCTGACACTAAAGCACTAGACGGTGTTTACACACGAATGCTACGAAGGGTCTTTGGTATCTCATGGAAATCCCACACACCTAACTCCGTCCTCTACGGAAATATCCCATCGGTGACTGATACCATCAAAACACGAAGACTTCGTTTTGCAGGGCATGTCTACCGTCTACAGGACCAACCTGCTCAGCAACTCCTTTTCTGGCAACCATCTTACGGCAAAAGGTATCGAGGACGACCACACAAGACCTTTCCGGACGTCCTTCAAGAAGATACTGGTTTAGAGCCCCACATGATACGTCTGCTCATGAGTGATAGAGATAAATGGAGACATGCGTTGACACGAAACTCGTTCCAGATTTCATCTGGACCGACCTAGGCAGGCAGGCAGTAAGACAGAGAGAGTAGATTGGTAATTATTCCAACAACAGTCACCAAAGCACTCGGAACTACGAAAGCTAAAGGGGTCATGTTCGTTTTCTTCTCCATTCTGTTTCCCTATTCGGTGATATATTTTGTCTTAGCTTGGAATGAGCGATAAAATCAGAAAATATCATAATATCAGGTATTATTGTTACTTTATAAATATTTGATTACTACTGATCGCACATTTACGGAGGAGCAAAATACCTACAAAGGGCAAGGTGTAACTGTAAGAGGCCCAAACTGACAGCATTTTGAAGCTGAATATCTTATGTGCATGCATTATGCATTAACTACATTGTAGCATTGTTCTTTGTAATGTGTCATCAAGACTGGCCCGAGTAATGATATGTTACACTGCCTGCTCAACTCTGGAATCTTTTGAAATTCCGCTTCGAAAATGTATATTCAGAAACAATTTACGCTACGAAAGGGTGATTAAAGCATTCTACAGTTCCGTATTCCTTTTATACAATTACATAACGCAGCAAAAGTGAAAGCTTTCTCCACTGACATAAAATGGTTAAACAGCTGTGAAAATTATACACTCAGTACAGTAGCGAAAACTTAGCCACCATGGGATCAACTAGATGAACAAGATGATATTAGTTCAAATAATTATGGCCGAGGTTTTATTGTTATAAACAAACGAGCTCGTGAGTTTGATTAGAAAAAGTAGGAAAATCATACTCAGAGTTGTACGGGTTAGGCTGGCTCCTTACTTAAAACCAGTTAAAGTTACTAATTACTATATTGTTAACCCAGCGTCATGATGATCCAGAGATACCAGTAAATAACTCGTAGTCACGTGACGCAGACCTGACTAACGGGGCCGGGAAAGGATGATTAGTGACATAACAGTCAGATCATATGACAAATATATGTAACACTATAGTTTGATCTGGTGACAATATTTTGTTGAGTAGACTGAGAAGGATGTAAACTGAATCACAAAAACACCCTGATTTAGGGATTAAACAAATTCCCAAACTTCCTCCCGTATAATTAATTTTTTGAGATAATTTGATGTAAATTCAGTTTAGTGAATCATCTCAAGAGTGTGACTAGCAAAAATAAGAGCACTTATACAAATACTATTCTTGTTTTATCGATTATGAAAATTAAAATTTCAGGGTAAAGATTTGAATCAGACAATGATAACAGAATCTAAATCAAAAGACGATGAACTGCATAAGTTGTACGATCAGATCAAGGACCTAAACAAGGTATAACTTTAGCAAATATCGAGTACCTACATGCTTTAATGTACCTTTGTTGTGCAGTATCTAATGATGATTAAAATTAGAATCTTTAGACGATGAATAATTTAATAGGGTACCTTATCGGACCTTATTTGGACGGACATTACATGAACGGATATAATTGTGAACGGACATTAATATGAACGCTCGAAGGCATTCAAAACCATCAAAAATCCGAATTTTTTTCAATTTTTGACGTTTTTTTAATTTCAGCAAATGATTTTTTAATCCATCTTTTATACAGTAAGTAAGAATAGCAGTCATTAAGCAGTAAAAATGTTAAAATATGTGTACATGATCAGTGTCTAATATCACATATCATCTTCATTAAATGGGTTTTCGTGCACGAAATAGTCCATGCTTAAACAAGCATCAGTGATTTCTAGCTTTGTGGAAACCTTTTTTTATCAAACTACCCCGTTCCTGCATTTCAGTGTTAATTTTTACAAGCCATTCGGCGTGAAGTGGTTTTATCTTAGACATGACAACTTTAGGTTAACCTTAACATCACGTGGAGCTTTCTTAGCACTGTTTCATTACCTCCCCTCAGTAATATGAACTATAAAAACGTCGGACAATGTCCTTGGCAACGCGATTTACCGTAATATCTAGAGACTGGAACAAGTTTGTCATTTTGGCGGGGACTAGCTCATGAACTATGTTGTTGAGTGCCATGATTTCGTTGACTTTTTCCGCCAAGTGACCCTTGAAAACATCATATACTAGTAGAGTTTTCTGTGCCTCCGGCAGACCAAGGAGAACCTTTCCGTCGTTAACTTAAAGGCACAATAAAGTTTTCATAGTTGTCATATTCTGGGTAAAAATTTCGAAATGGAAAAATTTTTGAAAAAATTTCAACGGACTTCAACTTGGACGGACATTAATTGAACGGACTTTATTTGAACGGACATTAAGATGAACGCTAGGGCCTCCAGCGTTCGAGTAATGTCCGTCCAAATAAGGTCCGATAAGGTATACGTTTGTGGAAAAATCAACCACATTTAATAGTTTTCTAACGGTGAACTGTCCCAGAAATTGGACGGTTCCACGAACGTGTTCGAAGAGAAGAGCCGACTAGCGGAGCAGCTGGAGAAGCAGGAGACCGAGTACCGGAATGTTACCAAGTCTCTCCGGGCAGAGGTTGCTAAGCTGGAGGTCCAGCTTCAGGAACGAGAGAAACAAGCTCTGGAGTTTAAGCAGCTTGTCTCCAGGCTTGAGCAGGAGGTGGGTACTACTTAATCTTTTAACTTCTTTGTTTCTGTGGGTGACAAAAAGGTTATGAGCCAGTTGAGAGTTAATTATATCCCAAGATCTTTGCCCCAAGATCGCCGTTTCACTTTCAAATCACAGATTTAAACGTTATTTAACATTTTGGATTCCTTTGTTCAAGCTTAAGCTCTGTTCTTTATTCCCTGGACGGAGGTAGCTGTGCTGCCTACAGCCTAAGTAGTCAATATTTTATGGAAAATGTTCTCTTACAGATAAAAGAGATTTCGGACGATCAAGAGAAGCGAGTCCTTTTGGAGAAGATTGTACACCTTGAGGGGGATCTAAGCTCGACCAAATCTGAAAATACCAAATTGTCAACTCAAATGGACAACGTTGCCAAGGTAAACAGATAATAAGCCTTACTCACCTGCTTATTAGATGATTTGATTACCTTGGTTGCAAGGGGCATTTATTAAGTAACGCAAATCGTAAGTATCCAATCGGCAACGAATGTCAAAAAAAATGTGTTTCTTAAGCAAGATCATTGGTCGCTTTGGCGCTTATACTAGATGTCAAGGGACAAGTAAATTATGTGCTAAGTGATGAACCTGGAAATGGCTCATTAAGAATTAGTTAGACGTGCCTTGACAATACCATTAGGCGTATGACCCGGTGTTACTGCTCTAATGTTCGATGACCCGTAATTATGTACTGACTCAGACTAGATGACTAAAACGTTTTACTGTTGCAGGGATCCATGGCTGCCGTGAAGAGTGTCGAGTTTACAGATGGAGCTTTTGCAGAGGTTCACTCTGCCATCGTGACGAAGATCAAGGAGCAAGGGGACGAACTGAACTCTCTCATGAAAAATCTTAGGGCTCTTCTTAACTCGGTATAATATTGTTCTTAGAAACTTCGCCCTTAATAACATTTCATTAATTTCTTTGTGCACTGACAAATGAGCTTATTTCACAGTGACATATTTAACACTAAATATCCCCCAGAGCATTCAAAGTTCAGGTAACCAAATGAGTGAAGAACAGCAGCAGAAATACTTGCTTTTCATGCAAAACCTTGAAACAATTGGTTTCATCGTCAAAGAGACCATGTCACTCGATCAATTGCTCGAGAACCTCGAGAAGATATATTCTAGAGATCTCCAAGGACTGGAGAACAATAAGATAGAAGCCCTGTCGAAGGTAATTCATGAGTTCAAAGAATTCCATAATGTAAGCTTTGCTGTCTCATTTTGTAAGACATTATCTTTTTGGATAAGCTCTCAATTATAGATAGGTAGTAAATAATGTTATAAAACATTTTTAGGTTGAAGATTTGAAAGCTTCAATAGTTGAACTGAAGTTGACTGAGGTAGATAACGAGTTTTCGACTTATCCTGCTGCCTTAAGTTTGGAGTTGAGACATTTGAACAACAAGCTGGCCCTAACTGAAGAGGAAAACAGGTATGTCTGATCGTAATAATTTCGAATTAAATGTTATTCCACAGGGATTACTATAATTCGAAATATAACACAGTCATATGTAAATTTATATGTTAAATAATTAATGTAACATTTATTATTGATTATAAAGAGGAGTGGACATCACGGTTTCCTTCGCGTCTGTTGCCACCGACCAGTTTAAAGATTTCCGTAGCAGGCAAACCAAGCTTCTGAGCAAGAACGTTCCTGTCTGATCCAGACGCAAATCTTACTCGTTTCTGGCCAAGTAGTTGATCTAGGTGGGACTTCTGCTCCGAGGTCCGGTTCCTGAATCTTCCGGGACGGGATCGTGCAGAGCGTAGGGGTCCAGAAGACGGTAGGCATAGTTCAGAAGCTGTGATAGGCTTAGAATCTGTGATAGGTTCAGAAGCTGTGATAGGTTCAGAAGCTGTGATAGGTTCAGAAGCTGTGATAGGTTCAGAAGCTGTGATAGGTTCAGAAGCTGTGATAGGTTCAGAAGCTGTGATAGGTTCAGAAACTGTGGTATGTTCAGAAGCTGTGATAGGTTCAGTAGAAGGTCGAGTGGAGGTTGTTTCTGATATGGCTAGCTCTGCGAAAGAGTCTGACAGAGATACGTTCAGAAAAGCTGTATCCATAACGTAGGGTCGTTCATGGTGATCCAACAAGAGAATGTTGATAGGTGTGTCAGGGAGATTGAGTACTTCTGAGAGAATCCCACTGTCCACGTCTAGGTCTGGAACTTCGAGACTTTCGTCGACATCAGGAAGTGGTATGGATGTGTTAAGGTCGATATCCATTGGATAGTGGAGCATAACATGACATATAGGTGATAGAGGAGTCGAAGAGTTGCTGGCAGTGCAGTTGGTTGAGTGGCAGGAAGTGGGGAAGAATAGCTCTTCAAAAGGGATAGGACAGCAGGTAGGTAGTAAACAAAGGTTGTTGTTTGTATTGCAAGACATGATGGAAACAATGATGAGTTGAAAACTGAGCAGGTGTATTTATATTCGGTAGCTGAATAGGGTTGTGACGTGTTGGGACGTGATCATAAGGTCAGTTAACTGAGTTTCGTTATCTGATCTGATCCAGAGCTCAAGTGCATGGTTGAAGCGTCGTGTCGACCTGTCACGATGCCATGTGATCTCTGTCGCAATACCAAAGAGTGTCATGTCATATCATACGATCTGAACTTCGGACATCAAGCATCACTTTTAGTGTAATTATGTTATAAGTATATCTCTCGTATCTCTTATTAAATTTCGGGGTTTCCAGGTCAATTAAGATGGAGTATAAGGACATGAGAGATCAGCTGCAGCTAAAGAGAGACCAGGCTATTCTCCTGGAGACAAGGCTGAACGATTCTGAGCACAAACTGGCGGGCAGGAGCAATAGATCAAACGAGATCAGATCACAAGCTACCGTAGATCAGGCTGATGCCAGGCATAAATCTGTCAAAAACGTGAGTTGATCATTTACCCCTACTTAATACATGTGGTTAAGGAGATATCAATCACTGTATGCAAATTAATCAATTATGTTTCGCAAAAATATGAAAGATTGTAAGATATTTCGCTGAAGTAGGATATATTATATCTGAGACCAACGGTATCGTTCTGGAATCGAACTTATAAATCATAGATCTACCAATTACCAGAAAACGTGAATATGATATCCCACTCTCTCTTTCTCCCTTAATCTCAAGAGTTCAGATGTCCTAAAAATCAATCGCACAGAAATTTGCACAATTTGCAGCTGTTGGCTGCAAACATCAGAATGAAGATATTTGTCTCTACATTCCAAAAAATTTCAGCTCGGCAAATAAAAGCGGTTTGGTTTCGTTCTGATTCAGCAAAGATTCATGCTATATGTTTCTATGCGTTGATAACTGGTCGTTAAACGAATATTTCCTCGTGTAGTGTTTATGTCATAGTTGGGTTGGTGGTGACTCACCCCAAGTACATCGTACACTTATGACCACCATTTCTTTTATTGAGTAGATCTCTTATGTAATGTAATGTATATGATGTAGTGGCATGGGGTATGATCTTTGTATCATAATTCTCGGCCTATCTTCGTTTTTCTTCGTTTTTCTTCCATATTTGAACCTTTAATCTCGAATGGCAGAGCGAACTGCGTCCAGGCAAGCTTTGTAACCATGTTGGAAGCTCTTGCTGCAACTATACTGTGTCTCTGTCTGCCAGTCTTTCTCTCCTTCCTATATTGTTCCAGGAGAACATCACTGACTGATGATGCGAAGGTCATTCAATAGCGCAGTTATAACGCTGTCATGTAAAAGACATGAAATTAACAATTTGCTTTGAATATCAATATTACGTAAATATACTTCGACAGAAAATCTTTAGATTTCATTCAATATTAAACTGGACACGTGTCTTCAGAAACTGTCCAGCGAGATATCAATGTTGGAAAGCTCACTTGCCACAGCGCACTCGACCATCAAAACACTTCAAGCTCAACTTCCCGAGGGCGCTAGTGATAGTATTCTAATCAAACAGGTTTGTATTTCTTTCCCGTCTTCGTTGGATTCGGGTATTAATCTAGCTGTATCTATGTCCTACGATTATGACACGTTTTTAGAAATCTTACTTTCTTAATGTTAATTTGTTTTATTCGTTTTTTTGCCGCTAAAACCCTGAACTTGTTTTCGAAATTTAAATCAGCAAGCGCACTTCCTAATTGACCACTTAATTGAGCATGCTTAAAACCTAACTTTGTGAATGAAGGTACAAGAGACACAGGAGAAGATGTTAGCGATGCAGGCAGAGTATCGCAAACAGATTGACAACCTCGAAGTGAATCTGTCGACTACAAATGCTACTCTGTTGAGAAGGGAGAACGAGATTAAGATGCTGCGAGAGGGGGTAAGTTTCACCTAAACACCAGGAAAGTTTTAGTATCTAGTCGTTGGAAACTTACTGCAAATATCAAGGACGCATATTTGATATTACGGAGCATATTTTACTATAACTAACAATGACTACATCTGCCCCTTTTCAGGTGTCTCATTTGGAGAGCAGATTAGAACGAGCTGCCTTGGCCAAGGAGCAGGACATGGCAGCAGTAAAGCTGGAGAAAGAAAAACACATCCTCGCTAACCAGAAACTAGAGACCCAAAACATCGAGCTGGTTACGCTTTGCGAGACGATCAAGGGGGACTTCGAGAAGCAGTCATTAACAACAAAAGAGCTTGAGGATCTGAAGAACAAGCTCCAGCACGACCTGGAGCTGAATCAGCAAGAGGCCAAAATGAGTCGGGATAAAGTGAAGGTTCTGGAGGATAAGTTAGCGTCGTTGAGAGACGAGGCTGCTTCTCACAGCTCCCCTGATGCACTTCTCCAAAGTAAGGAGGAACAGATAAACGACCTGGAGGAGAAACTCAACGAACAGTCTGAGAAATCACAGGTACACAGCTTGCTTATATTTTTCTAGTAACTATCTTACAATTTGTCTAACAAATCTTACAAGGAAATCACTTAGCAATTAGAGAATAAGTAAGACTAACTTAGAGAGTTTGAAAAATTATAAAAATCAAAATATTTCGCGTAAACTTAAAAACAAACAAAATTTGACAAAAACAATAAAAATAAACACAATAAATATGAAACACCGTAAATTTCCGCAGTCTTAGATGCAGACAAGAGCAATGAAATTATATAATTCATTAATTCAGCTAATAATGTCCGGATCACCAATTATTCCCAACCAAGTGTTTTTATACTCATGCTTATGATTTGGATTTAATGTTTTAAATTTTTTGATATTTTCCACGTGCTCTGCACATGGGTACTGGAAGAGCAAACAGTCGTCCTCGTATAAGTAGAGCAGGCCGTCCAACTGTTCCGTTGACAGGGTGGAGTAGTAGCTGTAGAACATCGTCATATTCAGGGCAGGGGTCTGGTTTGTCATCCATCTCTCACTGTTCGTCTGGAGAGATTATTAGGTAAATTTGTCTCAAAATAATTGTAACATGGGAAATGGCCTACGCCTGAATTAAATTAGTTTGGTTTCTTTTGTTTACTTACGACGAGTCTGAGGTTGCCGGTTAGGTTGAACATATTTTTCAGATCACAATCAAATGTTTCCGCTTTAAGCAGAAAATCGTATCTGAAATGTTTAATTGTATCAACACTGTCACTAGCTTTCGGGCATAAGTGAGACGCTAAAGAAAACTTAGAAAAACTATCATTGTTGGTAGCGATATAGTTTTTCATGATATATTCTCCACAAGTTCCATATATCATCAAATTATGTTGCTTACTGAGTTGAACCACATGGGCCACATCTCTGACTAGCTGGGATAACGTGATTGTTGCCCCAACCGGCTATCGTTGCATCCACAATTTCCTTAAATGTGGGATATGGTGGACATAAATATGGGTTGTCTTCTTCTGGTTTCTTCTCATTTTTGCCCTCTGTCATCGATGCTGCATAGTTTATTGCCGCCCAAGCTGGCACCTTCTTTTTATCATTATATATAACAGAGCGAGTAATCCATTTTATTGGCCGATAATGTATCATGAAGTCTACGAAAGTTGTTCTCATAAATAAAGCTGGGTGGCTTAACAGCTCCACTTTGTTTCTGTAAAGGGAGAGTAATCTTCTGAATGGATCTCGAACCACCAAAAATCGTTTCTCGTCTTTAGGCGGAGGATCCTTAAGAGAAATCAGTGTTATTAAAATAATTACATCTATTAATTTATGAAGTCATATTTACATGATTATGATACGAAATTTTGGGATTCTTCCGATATTTTCGATTTCCGGAATCAAGTATGTCATAGATAATGATAATATGTCTTTTAAATTTCTATGGTAAACACTCATACCATTTAAAAATCGTCCGTATCTACTAACCTTTTCTGTAAAGTCGTCGTTTTTTCTGAAGCCTCCTTCGAAGTTCCACTCTTTAACATGCCTGTCCTGACATGTTTCGTCATCAAAATAGTCGCTGCAGAAATGTGCGAACACGCTTGAGGACGCTGCCTTGTACACTGGACACCATCCCAACAAAGATTTGCTGAAAAATTGAAAGTCGAAATCGAAAATGGAAAACTAAATAGATTGAATGTACAAGACAATCTCAGAGTTATAGAGTTATATAATATACCTCTACAGTGTACAGAGTACAGGTACAGAGTACAGGTACAGAGTACAGGTACAGAGTACAGGTACAGAGTACAGGTACAGAGTACAGAGTACAGGTACAGAGTTAGTGTAAAATAAGATGGCACCAGACCAGTCCTCCCGAGGCGTACCGATGGTCTACAGTGCCTGCTCACAAAGGTGTACTCACAATATACACTACTCACTCAGTCGTTCTTAGCGACTGACAACCGCAATAACTCACAATATCTAAGTATTGAACTCTACGTTAATATAACAAATACGATATTCTAGTACCGTACACGGAATTAACAGAAAGGGATACTAAGGTGTTAATATCGAGAATATGAATCAAATGGGAAATATAAACTCGTTACGAACGCTAGTAGAAACACTAAACTCTTAGAACTTGCACTTACTCTGAATTGACTGAAACACGATCTTCGAGTATCGTAAGCTTACTAATTTACCCCACACGGAAATAGGTGAGGCAACTTTAATTTGAACGGTATAATGTGGTACAATTCGTTCCTACGCTAGTGTTGAACAAGGGAAACAGTTGAATCGATTAATAACGTTCGAAGATGAAATATACGGTTAATTAACAACAATTAACAACTATAAACTGTGGCAATACGGGCCACGCCGGTTCGTTCCAGATCAGCGGTTAACACTTTGATTGAAAGTTAAACACGTCACCTAAAAAGCTTTTCCAGAATTGACTCCAACGTGTCCAGAACTGCGTTATCGACCCGCGCCACGTGATACCACGTGGTCACCCACGTGGTACCGCGCGGCTCGGCCCAGCCATAAAACTATAACAAAACCTACACGCCCGACTATCACGTGCCCTACTTTACACAAATCTCTAAACCTAACTACTCTAAATCTACACTAATCCTAACGGTTTTTCTTCACTTAACTGCAATATCCTAACTAAAACATGACTACTAAAAACTGCTTAAAAATCGCTGCGACCAGCCTACACATTACACTAGAGTACAGGTACAGAGTACCGGTACAGAGTACAGGTACAGAGTACAGGTACAGAGTACAGGTACAGAGTACAGGTACAGAGTACAGGTAAAACTTACTATACTTTCTTCAGCGTCCACGTCATATCTGACCAAATAAAATCCGCTAATGTTAGTCAACTTTCCCTATCTATACTAATAATCCCAATAATCTGTGGGTGTTTGTGTGGGTAATTTCCTAACGGTTTAATCAAGAAAACGGTAAGAGTTATGGGACTGGTTTTTCCGGTATAGTTTTGACAAAACTCTGACGAAGCCAATGTGCAATTTCTTTATAAATCGGCTGGTGTTCAGTGGTTTAATTGATGGTTTTGTAATGCAAATGTGATATTAAAGTGACTCACTTTTTGTCCCTCTCTCACACTCTCTCTCACTCTCTCTCTCTCTCTCCATTTACAGCTCCTCTAACTCAGGGGTCGACCGAGGGCAGGATTTTCGACCGAGGCCGAGGCCGAGGAAAATACAGTTAGTTAAGACCGAGGCCGAGGACAACCGAGGTTTCTTTTTTTTGACCGAGGCCGAGGCCGAGGCCGAGGAGTGCAAATTTTGACCGAGGCCGAGGCCGAGGCCGAGGAATTTTGGCAGAAAAATTGTTGGGAAAAAGGGCATTGTTTATTAGGAAAAGCGCACTGTACCTAATCAGATTGTACTGTGTACTATACTGTGTACACACGTTACAATCATTATGAAGGGGCAAGTTCGCCAAGAGTCAGGAGTGGGCATGCCCAGGCAGGATCTGAGTAATTGACAGTGAAATTTGAAATATTCTATCAGAAGCGTCTTCACCACCACAAGTTTCGGTAACTGATGTTTCTATTAATTCTGATGACCCTTCAATAGTACAGTCTTCTGGCTCAACATGGGCAGCAATCCTGGATAGCTGTACCTCACAGTCTGAAGAAGACGATGAATTCGAAGAAAATAGTGAGAAGATAAGGAGGGAAGCTAACAGATACTTAAAAGACTCTCGAGTTGATTTATCATTTCAACCATTAGTTTACTGGAAAGCTAATAAGCAGAGCTATCCGAACCTTGCTGAGTGTTCAAGGAAATATCTATCTGCACCGGCGAGCTCAGCAGCACCAGAGAGATTGTTTTCTACAGCAGGGCACATCCTGAAGTTAAATCGCCTCAGCCTTAAGCCAACAAACTTTGAGGGGTGCTTGTTTCTCAAAAAGAACATCGGAACATTTGGGGACGACTTCGGCCCCTGTCCAAATGAATTTGAAGCCCCAAATAAAGAGGACTGTCCCCCTTCTGAGCTGTGCACAGAAGATTATTCTGATTCAGAGTGCTCAGATATTGTCATTTCATCAGACGATGAATCTTAGACTATGATATTTTTAGTTTTGTGTCCTGGTCAATTGGTCGTTTTATTTTCAATTTTACAAATTCGTTTACATTAACCTCTGTAAGTCTGTAGAAAAATTCCCAAAATTTCAACAAAAATCCTCGGTCAAATCCTCGGTAAAATCGTCAAATTTCGCCGAGGCCGAGGAATTTCGAATCTATTTTTGACCGAGGCCGAGGCGAACCGAGGAATTGTCCTCCTGACCGAGGCCGAGGCCGAGGCCGAGGAAAAATCGCCATTCCTCGGTAAAACCGAGGCCGAGGCCGAGGACTCGGTCGACCCTTGCTCTAACTACTGCTTTGTACATAATTAGGTAATTTGGCCGTGGAGCTTATTAAGTATTACTATTGGATACGTATTACGGTGATGGGCGCACAGAATTAAATTTACTCTCATGCGGTCAGTTTCAACTGAGCGAGTTTATACATTTGCACAATTTTAACTTTTGCACTGTTTATACTTTTGCAATTCAACTGCGATAGTGAAGTCCCGGCCGTAGGCACGGGTTACACTAGTATATTTAATATTTCTGTTGTAAGTTATAGTTAGATGTACTTACGGAAAGTAAAACATCTCCAAGATTTCAGAAAGTTTAGATCTGACAGTGTTGTTACATTGTGACTGTATCCAATCCAACTTTCGTTCGTTTTCTTCCGCGAATTCTCTGAATAAAACATTTTTTCGGTGTATTTATATTAGATCCCAAGCGTTGTTATTAACAAATGATTCATGATTGTGATATTAAAAAATAAACTTATTGTCTGAGATGATTTCAATTTGATATTGAAAACAGAGCTGCTAGAAACCTACATGAAGGTTAACATATCAAAATATCTCACTCTGTGTTAGGACACAATTGGTCAGTTTTAATATTTTCCTCAGCTTGTGGTAGCTGTAGAGATACAAGGGAAGTTTCAAGCTTTGGGTCGCTTGGATTTTGTTTGGTACCAGACAATATTTTAGCACAGGCTATCTTGGAAGAAGGGTCAGGTTCCTCATTATCATTCCTCTCTTGTATAACAGAGACGTTCTGGGATTCAATATCGATAATACATATTTGGATTCATCCACGCAAATATTTTTCTAAAAACATCAAGCTAGCAATGCCATAGCGGGCTCAACAGGGGATGTTAATTTTTCTAAATTGTTACATTATATTAACCAGATTTTATATATTATAAGCTATGTGTACATTGTACTCGATATGATAACTCAAAAATATAGCCACCAGAAATGCAGTTATACAAGTCAGTTAATTTGAAAGCAAAATTGAGATTTTTCAATTTTACAACATTTTTAAAAATCTTCTTGGTAATATAACTGAAGTACAACTACACATACGATATTTTATTGACACTTACCGTAAATGGTATGTTAACTTGAGAAGACCCAAGATAAAAACATATGAACCCGAATACTAGCAAGAAAGATATTCTGCGTCCGTAGCGGATAAACCCCGTCATAATTCATAAACCACTAAAATCGCTAGTAATTGTTATATTTTGGATATTTGGGTCTAATAAGTCGAATTGTCAATTAATAGATCTCGGAATGTTGAAGAATGTAGGATTCGCTATATCAAGGTATAATTACAACATTAAAACACTAATCACAACACTACAAATCTATTAAATTTATTGAGGACGTTACAGAATTTAATGTAGTTTGAGGAGTCCTCGCACTCTCCTCACGTCCAACAATGGCGTTTCTCTTGTTGATAATATAAGATAAAAATACTGACACGTCACCATAAATTGAAACTATAAGATTAGCTGGCAAATACGTAAGAGTAACAGTAACGCTAACACTCTTATTAGATCGAGTGAAGAGCAAATATCAAATACACACTCACTGTGACAAAATCACGCAACTTTGCAATGATGCATGATGGCTCGAACGGGCTTAAAACAAAGAACATATATAACTTAAGCCAGTAAATCTGTATCGAATTATAGGCAAACAATGTTATCAAATTAGCGGGTCAATACGTCCATACGGCCATAAAAATTGCAATAAAAATTGCAATAAATGCACAACCTGGATGTGTTAAGTTACAAAAAGTCTTCAGGTTATGTATCCATGGTTTGGACAGGATATTACCCGCTTAAAATATTTCCATCGCGTTCCATAATACTCAATAAATGTAATAGATTTGTAGTGTTGTAATTAGTTTAAAAACTATTAAACCTATAAAACCTATTAAACCTATAAATAATTAAACGATGCTACTAAAAGTTCGTTAAAACTAACGAAAGAGAGAATCAGTGCAAAGAAAACAATCGGGGAAGATAAAAACTGCAAATAAATGAATCAGGGAAGGGAGTAAGTGCCCAATTATACAAGGAAGTAGGAACATCGCTCATAACAAGAATTTAGCCGCGGTTAAACCACGCACGATCAATTTTCCCTACGATGTACTTGTACCATTAATTCTTTTGAGTGAAAAGTGTGACTGGAAAAAAGTGCACCATATTTACATACTATGTTTTTATAAATGAGTGGGATTCGTGCATGGTAAAAATTTATGATTTATTTGACCAATGCAGCGCCGCGCATCAACAATAAATGAATCCAGAAAATTGCGGAAAATAACTTTGCGAAGGAGGAATTTAAATGTAATTAATTAACACATGGCTAGCGTCGCGCGCAGCATAACAGACGCTTCCTATACACTTAATTATAGGGGAGTGGTCTATATTGCGAAGGAGCCGACTTTTGTCATCACCGCAGGTCCATCGGGCCACCTCATATATCCAAACCCGATTACTTATTCCCTACGATATTTTTGCCTTCGGCAAGATTAGGGAAAAAAATTGCAATTAATGCACAACTACTATGATAATAATTAAACAATGTCTTCCAGAACTTTCAAGTCATGACTTTTAAAATATGCACCTTGAGAAAAATTGCTCCAGAAATGTTCCTCCATCAGTTTCTCAGTCAGAGAATACATTACTCTAGAGAAACCTTTGTTACTAATCTATTCACAGCTTATCCTATTCTTTCCCTAACTGTAACTATAAGACGCTCAAGAGTTTGACAAATTATACATATCATTAAAATATGTCGCGTAAACAGAAACGAGTATTAACAAAAAATATATAAAAACCAATTGATATAAAACACCGACAATTTCCGCATTCTTACATGCAGACAAGACCAGTGAAATTACATTATTCATTAATTCAGCTAGTAAAGTCCGGATCACCAAATATCCCCGACCAAGTGTTTTTATTCTCATGTTTATGATTAGGATTTAATGTTTTAAATTTTATGATATTTTCCACGTGCTCTGCACATGGGTACTGGAAGAGCAAACAGTCGTCCTCGTAATGGTAGAGCAGGCCGTCCAACTGTTCCGTTGACAGGGTGGAGTAGTAGCTGTAGAACATCGTCATATTCAGGGCAGGGGTCTGGTTTGTCATCCATCTCTCACTGTTCGTCTGGAGAGATTATTAGGTAAATTTTCTCATAATAATTGTTACATGAGAAATGGCCTAATCCTGAAATCTATCCGTTTGGTTTCTTTTGTTTACTTACGACGAGTCTTAGGTTGCCGGTTAGGTTGAACATATTTTTCAGATCACAGTCAAATGTTTCCGCTGTCAACAGAAAATTGTACCTGAAATGTTTAATTGTATCAACACTGTTACTTGTTATCGGGCATAAGTGAGACGCTAAAGAAAACTTTTAAAAACCATCATTGTTGGTACCAATATTATATTTATAGTTGGTAGCAATATTGTGTTTATGATACATTCTTCATAATTCCATATATTATCAAATTATGTTGCTCACTGAGTTAAACCACACGGACCACACCTCTGACTAGCTGGAATGACATGATTGTTCTTCCAACCGGCTATCGTTGCATCCACAATCTCCTTAAATGTGGGATATGGTGGATATAAATATGGGTTGTCTTCATCTGGTTTCCTCTGATTTTTGCCCTCTGTCATTGATGCCGCATAGTTAATTGCCATGTAAGCTGCCGTCCTCTTATCAAAGTTGGTAATCCATTTTATTGGTCGATAATGCATCATGAAGCTTAAGTAAGTTTCTTTGTAAATCGGGCTGCTTAGCAGCTCTACTTTATTTCTGTAAAGGGAGAGTATTCTTCTGAATGGATCTCGGACTACTAGGAATCGTTTCTCGTCTTTAGGCGGAGGATCCTGAAGATAAATTAGCGTTGTGAAAATGATTGCAAGTTATTTAGTTACATTAGGAGTCTAAATGTACGATAAGAAATTTGGGAATTTTTTCGATCTCCAGAATTAAGTTGAACATAGATATGCATCTCCTAAAGTCCTAAAATGAACACTCATACCATTTACAAATCGTCCGTACCCACTAACCGTTTCTTTGAAGTCTTCTAGATCTCTGAAGCCCCCTTCGAAGTTCTTCGTTTTAACATCTTTGTTCTGAAATATTTCATTATCAAAATAGTCGCTGCAGAAATGTGCGAACACGTTTGAGGACGCTGCCTTGTACACTGGACACCATCCCAACAAAGATTTGCTGAAAAATTGAAAGTCGAAATCGAAAATGGAAAACTAAATTGAGTGTAAAATTTGGACATTAACGTCAGCCCTAAATATCGTCAATGCCTTATCAGACTTTATCCAGGCAGGTATTACTTGGACGGACATGTTTTTGGCATAAAATAATTATGGAAGCAAACATTTTATTTGATGCATATAAAATTTACATGGTAGCTGGATTTTAATTTGGGTGGGCATCACTACGATACTGAGCCCATCAGTGTCCACGTCATGTCTGACCAAATAAAATCCCCCAAACAAAGTCAGCTGTCTATATAAGTTTAACATCTCTGTAGTAAGTTATAATTAGATGTACTAACGGAAAGTAAAACATCTCCAAGATTTCAGAAAGTTTAGATCTGACAGTGTTGTTACATTGTGACTGTATCCAATCCAACTTTCGTTCGTTTTCTTCCGCGAACTCTCTGAATAAAACATTCGTTCGGTCAGGGTGGATACCAAGCGTTGTAATTTCCACTTTATGATGTAACTGTTAATGTTATGCAACAAATGATTGTGATATTAAAAAATAAACATAGTATCTGAGATGATTTAAATCTGGTATTGAAAACAGATTTGCTAGAAACCTACAGAGAAGGTTAAAATATCAAAATATCTCACTCTGTATTAGGACACAATTGATCAGTTTTAATATTTTCCTCAGTTTGGGGTAGCTGTAGAGACGCAAGGGAGGTTTCAAGCTTTTGGTCGCTTAGATTTTTGGGACCTCGATCATTAAAAATATGGGTCCAGGCTATCGTAGGAGTAGGGTCAGGTTCCTCATTATCATTCCTCTCTTGTATAACAGAGACGTTCTGGGATTCAATATCGATAATACATATTTGGATTCATCCACGCACATATTTTTCTAAAAACATCAAGCTAGCAATGCCATAGAGGGCTCAACAGGGGATGTTAATTTTTCGAAATGGTTACACTTACATTATATTAACCAGTATTTATATATTATAAGCAAAGTGTACACTATACACGATATGTTAAGTCTAAAATATAGCTACTAGAAATGCAGTTACAAGTCAGTGAAAGCAAAATTGAGAATTTTTAATTTTACAACATTTTTAAAAGTACATACATAATACAAGATATTTTAATGACACTTACCGTACATGGTATGTTATCTTTAGAAGACCCAAGATAAAAACATATGAACCCGAATACTAGCAAGAAAGATATTCTGTATCCGTAGCGGAAAAACTCGTTAAATATCGTCATAAACGACTAAAATCCATTAACTATTGCTACTGATTAAGTTATGTTGTGAATAGTAGAGTCTAATAATCCAATAAGTTAAATTAATAAAAATCTCGAAAAGTTGAAGATATAACGGGCTTAAAATTAAGTGCATGAAACAAGTCAGTAGATCAGTATCAAATTACAGCCAAACAATGTTATCAAATTAGCGGGCCAATACACAGGATTATCACTCTTATTAGATCGAATGTAGTTCCTCCTTACACATGTGTAGAGCAAATAACAAACTTACATTAACCTAAAAATGCTGACACGTCACCAGAAATTGTGAGTACACGTAGTTATGCTAGAAGATACCATACATCAAAGTATAATATATAGTATCTTAAACAATAATCTCAATAAATCTGTGTGTGTGTGTGTGTGTGTGTGTGTGTGTGTGTGTGTGTGTGTGTGTGTGTGTGTGTGTGTGTGTGTGTGTGTGTGTGTGTGTGTGTGTGTGTGTGTGTGTGTGTGTGTGTGTGTGTGTGTGTGTGTGTGTGTGTGTGTGTGTGTGTGTGTGTGTGTGTGTGTGTGTGTGTGTGTGTGTGTGTGTGTGTGTGTGTGTGTGTGTGTGTGTGTGTGTGTGTGTGTGTGTGTGTGTGTGTGTGTGTGTGTGTGTGTGTGTGTGTGTGTGTGTGTGTGTGTGTGTGTGTGTGTGTGTGTGTGTGTGTGTGTGTGTGTGTGTGTGTGTGTGTGTGCGTGTGTGTGTGTGTGTGTGTGTGTGAGTTACGGGACTGGTTTTTTTCGGTATAGTGCCGAAAAGACTCTGGCGAAGCCAATAAGCAAATGTTTTTTAAATCGGCCGTTGGTAAGTGGTTTTATTGATAGTTTTGTACCACAAAAGTGACAAATGTGGCTCACTTTATCTCCCTCTGTGCTCTCTCTCTCCCATTACTGCATAGGCTGCGTTGGTACATAAGTCATAATTAGGTGATCCTCGATATTAACTGTCATCTAATACTATAAGCTTATTAGGGGGGGGGGGGGGGGGCTCATTGCGGTCTGTTTGTTTACTTTCATACGACAGTGTAATGCATGTTTTCAAACTTCACATATTACGTAATCAGCCGATCATTACACAATGTACACAATACACATGTGCATTAGCGGGCCAATACACAGGATTAGGAACGTTATACTCGTATTAGATCAAGTGAAGAGCAAATAACAAATTTACATTAACTTTAACAAATTTACACTAACTTTTCAATAGCAGTGAGGCATGATGGCCAGAAAAAAATACTGACGTGACGTCACCATAAATTGAAACATAAAATTAGCTGGCTAATACGTAAGATTAACTGTAACACTAACACTCTGATTAGATCGAGTGAAGAGCAAGCTTGAAGTGGCTAAAATGCATTAACTCTTGATTAAGTTAAGTTTTTGATATTTGGGTCTAATAAGTCGAATTCATAAAGATCTTGGAATGTTGAAGAGTGTAGGATTCGCTCCAACGGGCTTAAAACAAAGTACAAATAAGTCAGTAGATCAGTATCGAATTATAGCCAAACAACGTTATCAAATTAGCGGGTCAATACACGGGGGGGGGGGGGGGGGGGGGGGGGGGGGGATCAGGTACTAAGTGCCGTACATGACGTCGACCAAGTGCAGTTTTGGAATTTACAAAAAGGACCCACCCACCCCCTTCACGGTACTAACTGCTTTTTCGGATAATATTTAGGACACCCACCCCCTTTTGCGGTACTAACTGTTGAGAAATCACGGTTCTAACTGTGTCTTGGTATATAAAATAAGATACCCACCCAGAAATTGTTTTAAACATTGGAAAATGGGCAAATTATACCCACTATTTAGTAGGGGTTTTGTTTTCAATGTTATAGTCGAATTAAATGAAAAGTTACGAAAAAATTTTAAAAAACCCAAAAAAACCCATTTCCAAGATTGAAATTTGAGGTAAAATGGGTTTTTTGGGGTTGGACATCCCCTTTAGTGCCATGTACTAATTGTTTTTCTGGGAAATGAGCAGCAGACCCACCACTTAGTAAACAAGTACTAACTGCGTTTTGGAAGAAAATATGACCCACCCACCCAACGTCATCAGAAGGAATATATTTAATGTAGTTTGAGGAGCCCTCACTTTCCTCATGTCCAACAATGGCGTTTCTCTTGTCGCTATTATGAATCATAAGTGCAGGATGATTGCAATGGCCATATCTGTAAAAAGATTTTGGATCATGTGTTTGAATTTATTTTTTAGTATTTGGCAAACATTTATGCCCAAAATTGTATATTATCGAGTGATTAGTGATAATATCGCAGACTTCGCAATTAAGTTGGCAGCATTTAGGTGAAATTCGCTGTGGCAATATATTATGTACTATAACTACTCTTACTTTGAAGTCAACCAAATTTCCTTCCCTCTACATATTATCATGATATCATGTTTCAAATATGAAAATTTACCTTAGAACAAAAGAAACACATACATACAGAGATGAAGAATAAAATTATGATTCAATATGAATTATGATAAATTAATCCACTTATTTTACCTAATGTAGGTAATCAATACAGGTTCAATAACGAATAACAGATTGAAATACGAGCTGATCGCACCTCCTGCAATCATCTCAAAGGAGCAGGTGGATATGAAGTGAATAAGAGGGATGAGATGTTAACAAATTTCACAGGCCCTAATTTGTTGGTCAATTGCTATCTCCAAATCAAATTTCACAAAAAATCAGGGTGAACCCCCCTTAAAATAAACACAATAAATATAAAACACCGAACATATCGGCAGACAAGAGCAATTAAATTCATTAATTCAGCTTATAATGTCCCAATCACCGACCCTCCCCGACCAAGTGTTCTTATACTCATGCTTAAAATCAGGATTTAATAATTTAAATTGCTTAATATTTTCTACGTGCTCCGCACATGGGTACTGAAAGAGCAAACAGTCGTCCTCGTAAAAGCTGTTCAGGCTGTCCAACTGTTCCGTTGACAGGGTGGAGTAGTAGCTGTAGAACATCGTCATATTCACGGCAGGGGTCTGGTTTGTCATCCATCTCTCACTGTTCGTCTGGAGAGATTATTAGGTAAATTTGTCTCATAATATTTATTACATGGGAAATGGCATAAGCCTGAAGTAAATCCGTTTGGTTTCTTTTGTTTACTTACGAGGAGTCTTAGGTTGTCGGTTGTGTTGAACATATTTTTCAGATCACAGTCAAACGTTTCCGCTTTTAGCAGAAAATCGTACCTGAAATGTTTAATATTGATGTGGCCCAGTGGTGAAAGGTACATATGTGCCGCCCCCGGCCCCACTAAATTGTTTTGTGTCTGGTCTTCTTTTTACCGCCCTTACAGCTCTTTGTCACGCTCTGGGGGCATTTTTTACCCCCAGAAGAGGAGCAGAAAAATCAAAAATTCTGGTATAAAATGATGTAATATAAAATATTTTTACTCACTTAGTTGAACCACACGGACCACATATCTGACTAGCTGGGATGAGGTGAACATTCCTCCAACCGGCTAACGTTGCATCCACAATTTCCCTAAATGTGGGATACGGTGGATATAAATATGGGTTGTCTCCTTGTGGTTTTCTCGGACGTCGACCTTCGGTCATCCCTTCCGCGTAGCTAATCGCCTTCCATGCTGCACTCCTCTTTTCACCGTTTGGTTGCCCACTTATTGGTCGATGGTGAACCATGAAGTCTACGTAAATTTCTCTATAAGCTGGGTGGCTTAACAGCTCCACTTTGTTTCTGTAAAGGGAGAGTAATCTTCTGAATGGATCTCGAACCACCAAAAATCGTTTCTCCTCTATAGGCGGAGGATCCTTAAGAGAAATCAGTGTTATTAAAATGATTGCACTGTCATTCTAGGCTATGATATACATTACTACTCGTAGTATTTACAGCACCAAATATTCCCTACCCACTAACCTTTTCTATGAAGTCATCTAGTTCTCTGAAGCCACCTTTGAAACCTTTCTCCTTAACACGCTTATTCTTACATGTTTCATCATCAAAATAGTCATGGCAGAAATGTGCAAACACGTTGGAGGACGCTGCCTTGAACACAGGACACCATCCCAACTGAGATTTGCTGAAAAATTTAAATCGTGAATAGAAATCTAAATGAAGTTTACACTCTAAGAACCCGAGCATCTATCAAAATTTAGACATTTATAGAGTAAGACCTGCAAAATGTACACAATGATAGATAGTATCCCCAAATGTCGATTATCACAATACCCATCATCTCAGAATCTGTGTAACTTGTCTCAAGATGAACTTACGGAAAGTAAAAAAGTCTCTCCGTGATGTCAGAGATTTTAGATCTGACACTGTCAGTAAGAGTGTCGCGACATTGTGACTGTACCCAAGCCAACCTTTGCTCGTTTACTTCCGTGAACTTTCTGAATAAAAAGGGTGTTCGGTTTGGGAGGAATTAGCGATCGTAAAGCTTAACTTTTTGATGCAATTTTAAAGGAAATATCTTGCTCTCAGAATTGAGATTTTGTTTTTTCCCTATATTTTAAGATGCCGCCTGTCTGCAACACTAACGTTGAAAAACCAAAAGTGGACATCAAGTTTTTAATCCAAAATTGAAAACAGAGCTGCTAAAAAATCTATATAGAAACACTCGAAATAAGCGGACAGACGAATCATTTCATGGTATAATCAAAGAACAATACCAATCCCTGTTGCTAGTCGGGTGTATTGTTCATTCTAATAACTATATCATGAAATCATTCGCCTGCTCGCTTATTTTGAGTGTTTGACTTGTTTAAAATATGTATAATGCTTCTGCTTGTCTGTAGTTGATAAGGTTCAGCTCTTTTTTGGGTAACCAAGCAACAACAAATTATTTATATGTTTATAGATTATTATATATAAATTTATATATATACAGTAGATATGAAGCTCAAAATATCTCACTCTGTGTTAGGGCACAGTTCGCCTACTCCAATGTTGTCCTCAGTTTGGGGTAGCTGTGGATATCTTAGGACAGTTTCAAGATTTTTGTCTTCATCCTGACTATCATTTTTCTCTTGTATAACAGCGACGTTCTGGGATTAGTTTCAATGATAGATATTGGGCTTATGATACAAATATATTTCAAATGATAAAGGTCGAATGGGGGAAAGAATGGACATATAATAGATAGGCAATGTATTTCCACAAAATAAATTATGTGCGACTTTTGAAGCAAGTATATGCTTGAAATTCGTATAAAAAGATAAATTTAAGTTTCTATTAATCGGTATTTATACGCTAACAGTACAAAATGTTGCAAATTCAGTAACCCAAAAAGCGGTTACAAGTCAGTTGAAGCAATATTTAGTTGATCTTTAAAAGTCTTATTATATAAGAATTATAAAAACTGATAATTAGCGAAGTACCCATGATATTTTATTGACTCTTACCGTGATTGGTATGTTTGCTTTAGAACACCTAAGATAAAAACATATGAACCCGAATACTAGCAAGAAACATACTGTGCATCCGTAGTAGAAATACTTCATCTCATCATAAACGACTAAAATGTATTAACTATCGCTATTAATTAATATAAGTTGCGTTTTAGATTTTAAAATCTCAGTATATTGAAGATTGAGAATATTTTGAGTAGATCAATACGTAGGATTATGGCAAGTTTCCATAAACGATATTTTATGATCGGCGCCGATAATCGCTTATTGAGCGCTTTTTCGGCGCTTTTTTTTTAAAAAACCGTTTACAATCGCTTTTTTTACGATTATAAACGGTTCAAAAAAAATCGCTTATAATCGACTATAATTGATGTCATAATTCAAAAAAGCGCTTTTTTGAATTTAAAAGCGCTTATAAGCGCTTTTAAGCGCTTACTAGCGTCGCTGAGCGATTTGAAAGCGGTTTTCCAGTAGGATTGGTGCCAAAAACGGGTGGATAAGCGGATGGCCGGATAAGCGATTCGTAGGCGCTTTTTTGAACCATTTATAAGCGATTATAAAGCAATGAAAGGCATTAGTTTGGTCAAATCAAATGGAACATATGCTATCAGACTTTCAACTGACTATGGCAGGGTTAAAACAGTTTTAACGCTAGCAACGATCCCCTTTTACATAGTTCCACTAAAATGATAATTTAAGATTAAATATGTATACTGTATAGTGATAGGTAGATAAAGTAAAATGTGTAATAAAACGGTAGGAATAAAGTATACTAAGTAAACGTAGTCAACACGTCATACAACGAACTGACCCAAGCTACAATTACTCCCCCGTAATTTCCCGCGTAATCCTAGAACTCCGATTTGCGCCGCCGCAAAGTTATTATAAAACTAAAATCAACACGTGCGACAAATATCTCGTAACATTAGAAAAGGATGCCATAGGTCAGGCTATGGCATTAATATATTTCCACACCCAATACCAAACTTATTCTTTAGCCCATGCCTCTTTACCACTGATAAGTATATTTTACTAAGACGATCCCGTCTAAAACCCAACTCAATTAAATCATCAGTAAACTTCAAAACCCTATCAGAAAAAGCAACAACGTTATTACATATCCTAGAATATCTCACAACCTGTGAACAGTACGTGCCATATAATAAACTACTAGCTTGATTACTCATCAAAGGTTGAAACTTGACCACTTTAAAACCAAACTTATCCCTTTTATCATAAACTCTACACGAAAACTTCCCCTCGCTATTTATCGAAATATCAAGATCTAATACATTGGCGGCACTATCTACTTCATTTTCCTTATTAAGAGTAAGAGAGTCTGGATATATTAACTTAAAATATTCCTCTAAGTAACCATCAGAGTTAAGGGTAGTAATATCATCTATAAGTCTAAATGTATTATTTAACTTCTTTACAATATAGTATCTACTTTTATACGTACTGTCTAGGAAACTGTTCTCAAAATACCAAAGTGTTAAGTTAGCGCTTATAATTGGGGTGCAATTTAGCTGTTTGTAAAGCGCAAATAAAGCGCTTATAAGCGCTTTTAAAATTGAGTCAGGAAAACGCTATATTACATCTTATAACCGCTTATAATCGATTATAAGCGTTTTTTTAGAAATCGCTTATTACGGCTAATTCATCGCTATTTCACCGCTTTTACCGCTTTTCCTATCATCCATGGCCAGGTGAGCAGGAATTAAAAAGCGCTTATAAGCGCTTTTTCGATGCTGCCCCTAGCCTGGTCGGAACGGGGTAGTGCCCGGAATTTAAAAGCGCTTATAAGCGATTTCTTAATTCCCCTTAACCTGGTTGGAACTTTCATGTGCTTTTCTGAGCAACCTGGGGTGCACCGGCAGAGTCAGGATTTAAAAGCGCTTATAGGCGCTTATTATCGCTTTTCTACCACTTTTCCTATCACCCATGGCATGGGTTGGCAAGAATTATAAAGCGCTTATAAGCGTTTTTCAATGCTGCCCCTTAGCTGGTCGGAACGGGGGAGTGCCCGGAATAAAAAAAGCGCTTATAAGCGCTTTTTAAATGCTGCCCCTAACCTGGTCGGAACTGGAAATCAGAGTGCCCGCTTATGAGTGCTTTTCTGAGCAACCTGGGGTGCACCGGCAGAGTCAGGATTAAAAAGCGCTTATGATCGCTTTTCTACCGCTTTTCCTATCACCCATGGCCTGGTTGGCAAGAATTATAAAGCGCTTATAAGCGTTTTTTCAATGCTGCCCCTAACCTGTTCGGGACGGGGGTGTGCCCGGAATTAAAAAGCGCTTATAAGCGATTTCTCAATTCCCCTTAACCTGGTCGGAACTGGAGAGTGCCCACTTGCATGTGCTTTTCTGAGCAACCTGGGGTGCACCGGCAGAGTCAGGATTTAAAAGCGCTTATAGGCGCTTATGATCGCTTTTCTACCACTTTTCCTATCACCCATGGCATGGGTTGGCAAGAATTATAAAGCGCTTATAAGCGTTTTTCAATGCTGCCCCTAACCTGTTCGGAACAGGGGTGTGCCCGGAATTAAAAAGCGCTTATAAGCGCTTTTTTAATGCTGCGCTTATAAGCGATTTCTCAATTCCCCTTAACCTGGTCAGAACTGGAAATCAGTGTGCCCGCTTATAGTTATAAGTGCTTTTCTGTGCAACCTGGGGTCACCGGCAGAATCAGGATTTAAAAGCGCTTATAGGCGCTTATGATCGCTTTTCTACCGCTTCTACTAAATCGCTCGCCCAAATTTTAAGGAAATTCTTGTGAAAAGGCCCTTTAGGGCATGAAAGTGATCTATATCGGTGTATTTTTGGACGCTGATTCCGAATCACCCCCCATGACGTAGGGTTAAAATGCTTCCCTGGAGAGTTATGGGCACAAATCCGTTTTGGTCACGTGACAGGCTAGTAAAATACGAATTCGATTGTTTAGGGCCCGGGTTAGGGTTAGGCTTGTGGTAAGGGTTATGGTTAACTTCGGGGTTATGGTTAGGGTTAGGGTTGGGATTAGGATTTATGTAAAACCGTTTTGTACGGCTGCAAAACCATAAAAACCAAAGTCACGTGAAATTTTTGGGCGAGCGAATTAGTAAAAGCCGAGTTGGACTCCAATATATGGAACAAATATTTTACGAGTGTCACCCGTCAATTCTCGCAATCACATTCAACATTGCGCTTCGCTATTATAGTTTGGTAAAAATTCACCACTAGACTGGGCCTCGCCAAGCTGTGAATTGAAAGATGTGAATTGCTGTGAATTGAAAGATTGACATCGCATTGTGAGTCAATATTTTATTTTGTCTCATGTTAGTTCATGCTGTAAAATGGGCATATCAGCTTGTTTACCGATTACCGCGCAATTGTTTAATTTACTTATGACTATGTCACGACGCGACCTGAATGATACAAATAGACCCAATACCCATGGTTAACAGGTGATACTCTTAACTGACGGATGTTACTCGTCTAAAGTAGCGCGCGCCGCTTTCTTCTCGAAATGCCACGATGGCACGTGCTATGTCGGGCCAGACCAGTAACATGTCGGGCCTACATGTAACATGCAATGGTCAACCACATGCAAGTGGGCACTCTCCAGTTCCGACCAGGTTGAAGAGAATTGAGAAATCGTTTATAAGCGCTTTCTAATTCCTGCCAACCAGGCCATGGGCAGTGGCGTAACGAAGGGCCCTGCTGACCCCGCTGTGCAGGGGGGCGCCGTCTTAGGGGGGCGCCAAATCGTCGTTTGAATGTGGGACAAATTCGAAAACTTAACTAAAGTACTAGTAGGGGGTGCACCATAAAAATAAACTTGCTCGGATTTTAAAAATTTTTGTACCATTGTTTTCTAGAGACTGTGAGAATTTTCACAATACCAAATTTGTCATACCTTTTTGGAAAGATCAGTGAGTTTCGCCTAGGTGCCATATTTGATGGTGCGCGGCTTTTGGAGCAAAATTAGCTGTAAAAGTCGCGTAATTTGACCAAATTTGACCAAATTCGTTGATTTTTGTCGTATTATTTGGATATATCTTCAGTTCCTTGAATGAGATCATTCTGAAAATTGGCGACGACCTTCCAATAGGGCTTTCACAACTGTCCGAAAAATTTGGTGGATATCGGAGTTGATATAGTGATCAAAATGGGGAAAAATACGCTGCTTTTAGCTGTAACATAATGTCTAATGGTTGGATATGCTTTAAACTTTTCGGACACCTTCCTTGTAAGTCTCTGAGTAAGCTTACCAATTTTTGTTGCAATCGGAGGTCGGGAAGGATACTTTATATCTATTTGTGTGAAGAAAATTGTGCTGGCCGAAATTAGCGCTAAAAAACCATCCTACAGTCGGCACGCGCGGCTTACTGTCGATTGCGCACTACCTAGTACTAGCAAAACTGCGCGTTTTGCTCTAGATACACACTTTTTTAGAGATTTTACCGGCGTATCCTCTTAAATCGCCTAATTTGTTCAATTTTAGGGAGGGGCACCAAAAGGGAAGGGGGCGCCAACAGGGGGCGCTTTTTCGGCAGGGGGGCGCCAACAGGCAACGTTACGCCACTGGCCATGGGCGATAGGAAAAGCGGTAGAAAAGCGATCATAAGCGCCTATAAGCGCTTTTAAATCCTGACTCTGCCGGTGCACCCCAGGTTGCACAGAAAAGAACTTATAAGCGGGCACTCTGATTTCCAGTTCCGACCAGGTTAAGGGGAATTCAGAAATCGCTTATAAGCGCATATTAATTCCAGGCACTCCCCCGTTCCGACCAGGTTAGGGGCAGCATTGAAAAAACGCTTATAAGCGCTTTATAATTCTTGCCAACCAGGCCATGGGTGATGGGAAAAGCGGTAGAAAAGCAATCATAAGCGCCTATAAGCGCTTTTAAATCCTGACTCTGCCGGTGCACCCCAGGTTGCTCAGAAAAGCACATGCAAGTGGGCACTCTCCAGTTCCGACCAGGTTAAGGGGAATTGAGAAATCGCTTATAAGCGCTTTTTAATTCCGGGCACACCCCCGTTCCGAACAGGTTAGGGGCAGCATTGAAAAAACGCTTATAAGCGCTTTATAATTCTTGCCAACCAGGCCATGGGTGATAGGAAAAGCGGTAAAAAAGCGATCATAAGCGCTTTTTAATCCTGACTCTGCCGGTGCACCCCAGGTTGCTCAGAAAAGCACTTATAAGCGGGCACTCTGATTTCCAGTTCCGACCAGGTTAGGGGCAGCATTAAAAAAGCGCTTATAAGCGCTTTTTTATTCCGGGCACTCCCCCGTTCCGACCAGCTAAGGGGCAGCATTGAAAAACGCTTATAAGCGCTTTATAATTCTTGCCAACCCATGCCATGGGTGATAGGAAAAGTGGTAGAAAAGCGATAATAAGCGCCTATAAGCGCTTTTAAATCCTGACTCTGCCGGTGCACCCCAGGTTGCTCAGAAAAGCACATGCAAGTGGGCACTCTCCAGTTCCGACCAGGTTAAGGGGAATTGAGAAATCGCTTATAAGCGCTTTTTAATTCCGGGCACACCCCCGTCCCGAACAGGTTAGGGGCAGCATTGAAAAAACGCTTATAAGCGCTTTATAATTCTTGCCAACCAGGCCATGGGTGATAGGAAAAGCGGTAGAAAAGCGATCATAAGCGCTTTTTAATCCTGACTCTGCCGGTGCACCCCAGGTTGCTCAGAAAAGCACTCATAAGCGGGCACTCTGATTTCCAGTTCCGACCAGGTTAGGGGCAGCATTTAAAAAGCGCTTATAAGCGCTTTTTTTATTCCGGGCACTCCCCCGTTCCGACCAGCTAAGGGGCAGCATTGAAAAACGCTTATAAGCGCTTTATAATTCTTGCCAACCCATGCCATGGGTGATAGGAAAAGTGGTAGAAAAGCGATAATAAGCGCCTATAAGCGCTTTTAAATCCTGACTCTGCCGGTGCACCCCAGGTTGCTCAGAAAAGCACATGAAAGTTCCAACCAGGTTAAGGGGAATTAAGAAATCGCTTATAAGCGCTTTTAAATTCCGGGCACTACCCCGTTCCGACCAGGCTAGGGGCAGCATCGAAAAAGCGCTTATAAGCGCTTTTTAATTCCTGCTCACCTGGCCATGGATGATAGGAAAAGCGGTAAAAGCGGTGAAATAGCGATGAATTAGCCGTAATAAGCGATTTCTAAAAAAACCCTTATAATCGATTATAAGCGGTTATAAGATGTAATATAGCGTTTTCCTGACTCAATTTTAAAAGCGCTTATAAGCGCTTTATTTGCGCTTTACAAACAGCTAAATTGCACCCCATTTATAAGCGCTTATAATCGCTTATAAATGGTTCAAAAAAGCGCCTACGAATCGCTTATCCGGCCATCCGCTTATCCACCCGTTTTTGGCGCCAATCCTACTGGAAAACCGCTTTCAAATCGCTCAGCGACGCTAGTAAGCGCTTAAAAGCGCTTATAAGCGCTTTTAAATTAAAAAAAGCGCTTTTTTGAATTATGACATCAATTATAGTCGATTATAAGCGATTTTTTTTGAACCGTTTATAATCGTAAAAAAAGCGATTGAAAACGGTTTTTTTTTTTAAACGCCGAAAAAGCGCTCAATAAGCGATTATCGGCGCCGATCATAAAATATCGTTTATGGAAACTTGCCGGATTAGCACTCTTATTAGATCGAATGTAGTTCGACTCCTTACACATGTATAAAGCAAATAACAAACTTACATTAACCTAATAAAATGACACAACTTTGCATTTATGGTTGATAGCCAGCAAAAATAGTAAATACTGACACGTCACCAGAAATTGAATCGAAACTACACGTAGCTAATAGCTATGCTAGTAATAGTATACACTAATATATTGCGTGGATACTGGATATGTTGTATATTATATAATTATAAGAAGGTTTGTCGCCACTTTAGAGTTATACGGGTTCCTGCTAGTATATATATATATATTTAAAGTCACTATTGTGACGGTACATTAGAACTAGACAGAAACAAAGTGTGAAGGGCCTGAACGGAACCCCTCGGTTTCAGTTCCTTGTTTAACACTGCCGTACAGCAAGGACATAACGTTTTAATAATTTATTTGAATGGTTATTTTTACGAGTAATTGGCAACCATTTTACCAAAAATTGTAAATCGTCTCCAATTTTTTTGTTAAAAACTCTGAAAAGGTTGTTAAATCCCGTCATTAAGTTTAACGATTAAAATTAAAGTATTATTGCTACACCAAAGTGCAAATGAAAAGTCAGTTAATCAGTATCACATTACAACCACACATATTATCAAACTGGTGATCTTAAATACGTAAATACGTAAGAATAACACATTTCTTCAATCGGAATGTACTCATGTAGTTCCTTCTTAGTCCTTACCCGACAAGATAAAATAGCTAATTCTACCTAACCTTAACGAAATCGCAAAACTTTGAACATATGGCGGAGTGAGATTCCGGGGCCTTCCAGTAATGATCTGCGATGGCAAGCAAAATACTGCCATATATGCAAGCCTCTTGATTTATATTACCAGAAATTGAAACTTCACTTAGCTATGCTTGTTAAAATGTATTTATTATTGCTAGTAGCGACAGGATCAGTGTTGCCCTAATTACACTTCAGCAAGGGCAGATAACGATGGATAAAACAACCGAATAGGCGTAGGGAAAAGCAAAGCTTGAGAACATCCTAATCCCCAATTATGCATGTGTACTGTGTAGGCCTGCATAGTTATGAACCTAACGGAGTACACTTTAAAGTTTAAAGGGTACTACCTTTATCACATACACTAACAATATTGTTATCACAATCACTATCAGCAGTAAGGTGTTAACGTTAGATATATATCCGACTTTCTGGCTATTTTCTCACCACTCTTTTAAAATAGGAAACACGCCCCAATCAAACAGAACACAAAACAAACAACAATATGAAACACATATCATAAATGAAGCCAACGATGTTATTTTTAGGGGGCTGATTGAAGGAGAATCAGTGGATGGGGTAGTAGGTTTAGATGCTACAAGAAGCTTGCTGAGAAATACACTAATCACTACAAGTACAACACTGCTCATTCGCCCACAAACCATCGTATCTGCCGTAAGCATGTGCTTGCTAATCCTTAGGCCTGGATATTAGACCCATTCAAGAGTGGTAATTATAGGTCGGGTTACCAGACTGGCTGGTACCAGAGTGGTAAGGGGCTGCCATAGTTATAGACTGGTAAAACTTGGGTATTACCAGGTCTTATTATCGGCAGTTACCATGGTAAGTTACCAGGTTAACTGTTAAGGAGTTACTAACATCTCCATAGATATAAAACGAGGCGATATATGGTACAATGTATAATGAAACGATGCAAAGAATTACGAGGATCTTATCAACGCCGGATTTTGAATGTTTCGAAGAACAATACAACTTAGAAGTACAATACATCTACAGAAAATATATATGTACATCAAGCAAACGTTTCGGTAGATACCAGAACTTGATCTGTTCACTGAGGAGATATTTTTTGCTATTCCTCGAAACATTTGCTTGACGTAACCCATCGTTTATTCCGCTCTCGGCTAGCAGATAGAGCACTATCAGCAGACTAGATGGCGCCTCCCAAAGTAAATATATCCGTTGCCATTTTACGGACACCACACCAATCAATTTTAACACGTGAGAACTGTGAGAGATTTACGATTGAAATTATTTTGATTGAGCCAAATGCTTTCATGGCCTTCTTATTAGTATAGTATGAAAAAATGCAAAATTGGCCAAGGAATAAGAACATTAGGTCCCGAAATTTGGACCTCATTTGAGGTTAAGACAGAATAATACCTGCACAGATTAGATATAAACAAGTACAAAAGCTAATCCCTATTTATACACTACTAATGACCGTCCCAGAGGCTTAAGGTCCCTGGAGTAGAAGGGAATGTTAGCAAACTGGAGCAGCTCTATTATAAAAGGGATAGCTGAGAACTCTCGTGTATTGAGGTTTCTTGAGCAAATATTGAAGAGTAAAGTATTAGATCGCGGTGTTTTTTTCCTTCAGATTTGCCGCACATAAAATAGAATTAAACAGGTGCAGGATCGGGTGAGATCAGAGGCAACATATAGGTGCGGTAAAATTATGCAAAATTCTGAAAATCTTTAAAATATTTGCTCAAGAAACCTCGATACTCTTTCTTGAGATTAAAGTTAAACAATGTGCATATGTGGGTTAAATTTTGTATGGAGTTTTATACTTGAACTTTTGAACACCGTTACCATGATTACTATGCAGCTTCATACTTCTCAACAAATCATTGTGTGTGGTATGTGGACGGAGATCATGAGGACAGCCGCTTGAATCGGGTACGGCATAACCAAAAAGGCTGAGAAATACAATGGGCTTATAGACGCTCAGGCGGATAGTAATCTAAATAATGGAGAAAAGCGCATACAAAGTCAAGACTCAATGGGAATTGTTAGAAAGTTAGGGAAACCTGTTTTGTTTGTTACTTTTACCTGTTCTAATAAAGTCACGTCTGTTAAGGTATTTAAATGCAGTACCGTTCACTCCTTTTCAAGTCACATTCTCGAAGAATAAATGACCCTCCCTGGCCCTATTAGTATTAGATAATAAATAATAACGTAACCGAGCAAGCTCACTGACCTGTTCCTGTTCAGAACAGCTGCGTCTCAGATCATCATTTTCCCTCTGTAACTGTTCTATAGCACTCTTCAACTCGGTCACGTGAGTTACCTCTGCACGCAACCTCGCTATCTCCTCCCTGTCGAGCAAAGTATCAATATTTCAATCCATGTGACCCTGTAAGTTTATGTATAACAAGGATTAATTTAGAATAGATTCACTTACAACTGACTGTCTGTTTCTTGATATTTGCTTTTGTTTTCTTCTAGCTCCTTCTTCAAATTCTCGTTCTCAACTTCCAACTCTTCAGTCCTTAGAGATATTATGAGTGATACAAATTTGATCATTAAACGGTTAAATATTTTCATATTAATTAGGGGAGGTGAGCTATATTTTTTACATATGACATTGATTTGAGGATTTGGTTGAACGCTTCTGGAAACTGATAGGCTAATCGCTGTCACGTGTCAAAGAATATTTCTCAGATAAGTTTCAGAAAGAAAATATAAGTGAGATAGGAAAGGCGGCGAATATACCGTCAAACCTTTAACTTGGATACGAGGAACTGTTGTCTGTATGACATACTAACTTGATGACTAGGTCATTCAATATTTTGGTGGAGGGTTTCGTAGTAGAAGGTTCCTGATCCTCATTATCATTCCCCTCTTGTATAACAGCAACGTTCTGGGATCATATTTCAAATGATAAAAGTGGAATGGGAAAAAATAGACTTAGAAGCTAACAGTACTAAATACATAATGTTGCAACCCAAAAAGCGGTTACAAGTCAGTTGAAGCAATATTAAGTTGATCATTGAAAGTCTTATTATATCAGAGTTATAAAAACTGATAATAAGCGAAGTACCCATGATATTTAATTGACCCTTACCTTGAAATTGAATGGTGAGTTTGCTTTGGAAGACCCAAGAGAAAAGCATATGAACCCAAATACCAGCAAGAAAGAGATTAAGCATCCGTAGTGGATTAAGTTGTTAAATCTCGTCATTAACGACTAAAATAAATGTATTGTACTGCTAAAACAAAGTGCGAATGAAATGTCAGTATTCAGTAAGTGTAGTCGTTTTAAATTTGGTTGCAATTAGCGAGCTCTGTTATCAGCTAGTGTTGTAACTTAAGAAGTGCTCGTCTTTTAGTGTGATCGTTCTGTAAGAACTGTACATCGGAATATACACGATGCAGCACTCATAACATCTCTATACAAGGCATTTGGTCGATGACCCCGAATATGAAGATCCGTTTAATGCCAGGCATGCAGATCAGCTAGCGAGAGCTACAAACAGTTTTTTTATTGAAATGTGCCACGAAGATCTTGTACAAGCGATCAGTTTCGAAAGAAAAACTGTGTGATTGGCTGCAAACTGTTTGTTTCATTCTGAATCGTTATGCAGCCCCTCATTTGCAAATGGCTGCGGAGAGAGTAGATAAACAGAACATCTCATTAATCGCGGAGCAGAAAACTGTCATTCATTTGCTGAAGAAGCTCATTGAAAAGAAGAACGCAGAACTCAAGTCAGTCCAAACAACAGTGCAGACAGAAATGAAATCATATTCTTCTGCTCTGAAGAAGATTTGTGCTGCTGCTCTTACGCCAAAGAAGATCTGTACTGCAGTTAAGACAATAGCTGAAAAGGACGAAAGAAGCAGGAACGTCGTAATCTATGGAATAAGTGAATCCGACGGTGAGAAGTTAGAAAACAAAGTTGCTGAAGTTCTTGGGGAGATAAACGTTAAATCTTCATTTCGTGACTGCTGTAGAGTTGGTCTGAACAGAGCAGACACATCACGACCTACTAAGCTATCTCTGAATTATAGCTCTGATATGGCAGCTCAGGTGCTGAGAAAAGCTAAACTTCAATGATTTATTCGAGTTTATTCTATCCGTTATAATTGCTGTACTCTGTAAAGTTTGAAGAGTATTTAATAAAAAAGTATATAATTATATACTTTAAAAAAACGTGCCAAGTTTTCTGGGAGGCAATAGACAGAAGGACATTATCTCCAATATTTTAGAAGACGCAGTATACTACGTCATATTCATATTAAAGCATTGCCACGGTTCCAAGTCTGTTAACACACATGAGGTGCGTGCACAGTTGTGTGTTAAGACTAAAGCTCTAAAGTATCATCTAGTGAGGCTAGTGTGAGGCTATTGTGTGCAGGTAGAAAGTGGCACCTACCCTCACAGCTGATATAACGTTTAGCAATAGCTTGAAGGTTTCAGAACTTGAGGGACTACTTGAGGATCGAAATTTGTAGGATATTTTTTGATGCGGGAAAAACTGACTACCAAAAAATACTAATACCTTCCTCCCTATGGCCACGGGCTTTCTAGTATATAAGTTAGCCACAGTTAACTCGTTAGTATTTGGTATTATATATTATTTTATTTAGTATTTTAGTTGCCGGGGGGATTTCGTCAAGATTAAAATACAATATAGATATTAGATATAATACCATGTTATTACTAGGTCGTATTATCGGCCTCTTACCAATTACCATGGTAACTCGTTAGTATTTGAGAGTCTATTAGCACCCTGACGTGACTTATTACGTAACTGGATTAGTATCACCAACATCTGCACCAATATCTAGTCAGACAACAGAAAGAAAACAGAAAGCAGAGTACATAGCGATGGGGAACATTGATCCCGTAATACGTGTATGTATATTGTACAACCTTGTAAGACTTCCCCATAAGTTGCAAGTTTCGAAAGTTTCTTACAACAGCTGTGTCTGCATCGGTAGCGTTGGCCTCCACTTTCTCCTGAACTGATGGACAGTAGTCATACAGTGATGATATAGTGAGTTCATATCCTTCCAGCTTTAGATGCTCAGGCAGCTCGCATCAATTTAATAGTTTCTAGTGTTACATCTCGTTACTCGATTCAAAAAGGAAAACCAGCTCCAAATATTATGTCAGTTTTGCGCTGTAAATAATCCGGCAGAACAGTTTAAAGTAGCTATTATCAATATACAAGCCATTAATATTATTTTCCCATGACCCGATTTTAAATGAATAGACAAATAGACAAACACTGCCTCGGAGTACAGCGTAAATACGTGCAATTAACAGTACAATGTCAAATGTATTAACTCGTAGGCGTAACAGAACCAAACAAGACCAGGGATTATACTGAATGTTAAGCCGTAGTAAATACATATTATATTATATATCATATTATATTACATAACATTAGGCGATTAAAATGCAGCGGTAAAACTATTAATCGATAGACGGAATGTTATTTGGTAGTACAGATAGTTAAGAAGAACGTTTAAAAGAGTCGATACATTGTAAAAATGTATAGATTATAGGGTTGCGCGATTCCCATTCTAAAACAAAACTAAGTACAATTATATCTAAAAATAAAACAGTCTAATTATAAATTACTAAACCCTTGTCAGAATAAGACCACTGTACTGAGTGTACATTACTGTCAATATCATGAATATGTGAATATATTATTTAAATATGTGCTGAGTGCCCACATCCAGAAAGTTTAAAATTTCCTCGCAGATACAAATTTTCTGTTTTCTGTGGCGGAATTTCGACTTTCAACCGTTGAGCAATATACTGGAAAGGCTGTTGAGATGGGTGCTTGTTTTCGAAATGCCGTTTGAGGTTGTCCGCTCTTTTAAGTGTAAACTTACAAACCCCACACTGTACATTTACTTTAGACTTATACATAATCGACTTACATTCTTGAACCTTAAATAATGTGTTTCTAGAACGAAATTTGTAAAATCATCAACAAGAACATAATTATATTCTTCTACAACATATTCAGAGATAAACCTAATTAGCACGACCCTCATGTTCGGTAAATAGTATGCAATTGGACAGAAATGTTTGCGTAGAAGCTTCTTTTACGAACAGAAGGAAGGAGAATCTGGGTTAGTTCGAGCAGGTACCGCTGACGGCAGGGTATTTGAAGGAACTAGATAAATGAAATATTCATGCTAATAATATATCGAAAATAACATTCAGCCTACAGCTTTCAGTAAACGTCATGTACATTAAGCACTCATGTACATTAAAATCGCACACGCAACGAGACTAATCAATACCACGGATATTATGAGCTGAAATTATACTCGAACGATCAATATAGCGTGAACAGAGTCAGACTCGCGTTGCGTTGTGCGTGGCATACCCACGTGCGAGTCAAATGGGCTGTTGAGTATAAGTGACTGCAATTTAGCTCCTCTGTGATAATTAATTAATTGGTGATTTGTCACTAGTAATAGTAGTGCGCTATGTGGTGATAAATTGAAAATTCAGCATAAGTGTTTTGTGTTTACAATCTTTTATTCTAGCTTTTGCAACACTTTCATTGCTCTCTTATCGGTGTCGGTAGTGTTATCTCAATCTGCTGCTACACCGACGCGTCGTGCTGTACGCCTTACCTTTAAAGGAATCAGTAAAAATGGTTCTTTGCTCGAGCAAGAAATCTGAAGAAATCTAAATGTACAGCGTACCACACATGGTACATCTTGACACACGCTGTAACCCCTTTTGATCGCGTGCACGAGAGGTATACAACGTGTAGCAAGGTACATCACACCTGACAGAAGCAAGGAGGAGAGAGCAGCTCATCAGAAGCTTGTTGTAAAAGTAAAGGAAATGATCACTGCTCAGCCAACAAAGTATCATTATACTAGAGACGGCAAGATTTTCAGTGTAGATAAGTTAAGGTGTAACATTCGGTGTTTTTGATTTCTATATAATTACTTTGATTTAAATGTGTGTATGGCTCTTATTTATGGCTGATGCGTGTATTTGTTGATTTCGGCCGATAACGAGGAACGTTTAATTGTGAGTTATAAAACTGCAACCGTGATTGTAACTCAGGTAAGTGATGACTTGTGGAGCACACATCGCTGAACAGCAATCGCGAAGCAGGTCTCATTAAGGCTAGGTATATCTAGGGTTTTCTTTTTCTGAGGACGCTTTGCCAGTAGTTTTACTTTTTGTGTTGTGTGCTATGGTACAGTGTTTCAATTTTTGGATATAGTGGTATGTTCTATTACAGATATCTATATTTATCTAATTCTAATGTAATCATAATTATGACAACAAAAGCATACGTTTCCTCCCCATCATCATGACAACAAAAAAAGTTAAGTTTAGTGACCGTTTCAAAATTAAAATATTTCATATGAAATATGTGATATCCACTTAGGTCGAAAAATCTAAAATCCCCCTCCCAGGAATTTGTGCATATTGGATGACATCTATGATTTCATCCCCCTTGAAGTTGAGCACTTAATAGCAACCGCTATCTAAAAAAGTGATACAAAATCAAAATACTGAACAGCCCGACTAGACGGAGAAAACTTAACCCTGAATTAACTTAACTCTGAATATATTAGACAAACAGTTTTTCAGCATGTTGTCACCACCTTGCGTGGTCTTATGCATTATGCATTATGCATTATGCATTATGCATTATGCATTATGCATTATGGAATATCTAACAAGCATTAATTGATTTTAATGGAGCTTAAACTTTATAACGTTTATCAAAATTTGGTGAGCTTGTTGGAATGCTATATTTTCTTGTGAAAGCCTGCAGAAGGCGACATTTAGTAATCTTCAACGACCACCTCTGCCCATCAACGAAATTAGTGTAAGAAAGGTTTCAAATGAACTATGTGATCAAAAAATTCTCAAAAGGGGATTTTTGCTTAAAAATAATTGTTCAGTAAGTGAAACGCGGAATGCTGAAAAGGCAGTAGACAAGATCAATCAATGAGATGATACGTCTCCAATATTATACTGCACGCTCGCCAGCACTTTCTTACTCTTAAAAAGCAACTATAAGCAAGCATTATGTATGTTATTAGTGTATGTTAATATAGCCATCTCACACCGAATTTGAACCACAAACCATGCTTGATCTGAAAATACATTTATTGATGTTCAAATTACGATTAAGCTAAAAATGGTCTTTTCAGAAGACCATTTTAAAAAAATAATGTTAACAATGACACCCAAAGGTCCTCAAAACATTCGATTACCCTCTATTTCTGTGTCATCGACTCATCTTACTTACCATTTGGTGTTTAAGGTTCTAAAACACATACCTTCAGTTAGGTATATTATATAGTTATATTCAACCGATCATTTGTCACATTTCTTGTGTACCAGATCATCGGATAGAATTATCTGAATTAGCTGAACTATACTGCTATTCGTCTGACATAGTACATACATCCATTGACAAAAGACTTGAATGACATGGTTAGCGGCTTTACAAGAGAGCTCTCATAATTTTTTTAAACGATACCATGGATTCCATATGAGCCTGCTGCTTTATCCGGATTAGTCCCTTCTACTAGCTTTATGGTTGCAACAAATTCAACAAACAGTTCGTTTTTGAATAGTTGTTTTTTTAAAATAGTCTAAGAGTCAAGAAACTAGATAGTTTAGGAAATTCTTAAAATTCTTTAAGATTCCTGTTAACAAACTAGTACCGGCAAAAAGCAACACCTTAAATATCAAATACTCAACACTCAACAGCCAAGAAATGCAATATAATTGTAAAAAAATGTAGTGACATTTAACGACATTTAATTAATGTAATAAAAATAATCACAGAATTCATTAATTCAGCTAATAATGTCGGATCACCATATATTCCCGACCAAGTGTTTTTATACTCATGCTTATGATTAGGATTTAATAATTTAAATTGTTTAATATTTTCCACGTGCTCTGCACATGGGTACTGGAAGAGCAAACAGTCGTCTTGGTAAAAGTAGAGCAGCCCATCCAGCTGCTCCGTTGACAGGGTGGAGTAGTAGCTGTAGAACATCGTCATATCCAGGGCAGGGGTCTGGTTTGTCATCCATCTCTCACTGTTCGTCTGGAGAGATTATGGGGTAAATTTTCTCATATTAATTCAAATTGTAACATGGGAAATAGATCTGAGCCAGAAATGAATCCGTTTAGTTCTGAATTCCAATTTGTTTACTTACGAGGAGTCTTAGGTTGCCAGTTAGGTTGAACATATTTTTCAGATCACAGTCAAATGTTTCCACTTTCAGCAGAAAATCATACCTGAAATAATGAACAATTATACTGCCGTGACTGGCTATCGTTCACTAAAGAAGAAAACCAATACTGTTTTTTTTTAAAATCCAGTAGCAGTAATGTATGTTTTATGCGCCAAAAAATTCCATATATTATCAAATTATGTTGCTCACGGAGTTGAACCACACGGACCACATCTTTGACTAGCTGGAATGACATGATTGTTCTTCCAACCGGCTATCGTTGCATCCACAATCTCCTTAAATGTGGGATATGGTGGATATAAATATGGGTTGTCTTCTTCTGGTTTCTCATGAGTTCCACCCTCTGTCATTGATTCCGCGTAACTAATCGCCTGATCAGCGCTTATCTTCTGATCAAAGTCTACATTCCATCTTATTGGTCGATAGTGAATCATAAAGTCTGTAAAAATGTCTTTAAAAATTGGGTGGCTTAACAGCTCTACTTTATTTCGATAAAGGGAGAGTAATCTTCTGAATGGATCTCGAACTACTAGAAATCTTTTCTCGTCTTTAGGCGGAGGATCCTGAAGAGAAATTATTTTTGTTTGGGGACCGGTTTTTGGTACACCGGCCAATGTTTACAAAATCATATGATACATAACAATATAATTTTATTTAATATAAGTGAAAATGAGAGTTGAAAATTATGATGTAACCTTTATCGTTTATTCTTTTTTTTTTAAAACCAAAAACTTTAAAATTAAAACTTGCATATCATGATTTATTTATTAAAAACAGTGAAAAAAAATTTGATTTGATACGACAGATGATCACACGCACTGATTTATAAGGTACTTGTGTTGGTAATTTACGATTAGTGAGCAGGGCAGAGTCGATAGTATAGTGCTCTGTATATTGCTCTGTTTGAACCGTAGTTAAAATAAATAAAAGTAAATGAGACCATGTCTTATCAGCACCTTCAAGTGCTATCATGACAGTGAATGGGCAGTGAACTAGTGTGCTAATCGTCTAGTTTTACTTATTCCTCAGGTAATTTTCAGTAGTTGATTTGTTGTGTGCCTGATCTTGTTGATTTACGTAGCCCAGGTAAATTATGTCACAGAAAAGGTGGCCATTCTTCATCGTTTCCTGAGCTTTGTAGTTCTATCATTACACGCTTTGCTGATTTCTTATAAATGCTTATTGAGAAAATACTAAATGGGTAAGTTATGCGACTAATGTTGTGCTCGGTAATAGCTAATATAGGACCTTTATTAAAAAAAACACTAGCGCATAGATCCGGATGAGAGTACGTTGTTAGCCAGTTGATATTGTCGTCATAAGACGTGCCATACTTTGGTATTGCACTATTTAAATGATGAGATTGCACTGTCATTCTAGGCTATGATATACTGTATACATTACTAATACTACTCGTAGTATTTACAGCACCAATTAATAGTCCGTACCCACTGACCTTTTCTTTGAAGTCCTCTCGTTTTCTGAAGCCTCCGTTGAATCTCCACATTTTGACATGTTTGTCCTGACAAGTTTTATTATCATAATAGTCGCTGCAGAAATGTGCGAACACGTTTGAGGTCGCCGCCTTGTACACTGGACACCATCCCAATAAAGATTTGCTGAACAATTTAAAATTCAAATTTACATGAAAGTTTACGCAAAAAGATCTTTTAACGTACAGTACATATCTTTTAACGTACATGGTAGCTGGCCTTTAATCTAGGCGGACATCACGTGAGTTCACGTAATGTCCAACCAAATAAAATCTGATAAGGCAAATATCAATCTTAGGCCCAAATTTCGATAGCTCGATTATTGTCAAGTCGCGATATCTTTGTCCCTTTTGTCAATAAAACAAATTTTAACATATATTATATCTAATATCTCTGTTGTAAATTGCTGTTAATTATAATACGATGTACTTACGGGAAGTAAAATATCTCCCTTATTTTTGTTAGTTTCGATCTGACACTTTCAGTGAAAGAACTAAGGGTGTTGTTACATTGTGACTGTATCCAATCTAGCTTTCGTTCGTTTTCTTCCGAGAACTCTCTGCATTAAGACATTTGTTCGGTGTGGGTGCATAAAAATCGTTCAATTTTATGACGTAATTTTAATATAAATCTTGGACTATGGCTCTAAATTAAAATTGAAAACAGATCTTCTAGAAACCTATATATTTTGAAGGTCAAAATATCTCACTCTGTATTAGGACACAATTGGTCAGTTTGAATATTCTCCTCAGTGTTGGGAAGCTGTAGAGATGCAAGGGAAGTTTTGAGCTTTTGATCGCTTTGATTTCTGATTCCAGACAATATCTGGGCTGAGGAAGGTGCCCGATGCTCCTCATCATTTCCCTCTTGTATAACGTTCTGGGATTATATTTCAATGATAGATATTGGGCTTATGATGGATCATGGAATATGTTTCAAATCAGTAACGTTGAAGGTTGATTGGGGTTAAGGAAAGAATAGACTTGTTGTAGGAACAAGAGGATTCAACGCAACCGGTTGTTTTAAGATATATTATCTTATAAAATGTAAAAACTAAAATATACGGTATACTAGATTTAACAGAAACTTACCGTACATGGTATGTTAACTTGAGAAGACCCAAGAGAAAAACATACGAACCCGAATACTAGCAAGAAACATACTGTGCATCCGTAGCAGAAAATCTTTTTTAATAAAGTCATAAACTACTATTTAATAAATTGAGTTAATTCAAATAACATTCAGGTTGAAACCACCCCTAATTAGAGAAATATAATCTTTACTATTGGCGGAGATCATCTAATTGATGATTTAATATGAGCCACAAATAAGTAAAATATCAATTTTATGGAATAAATAAATCAGATATCTTATATACAACCGACTAACCTCCTAGCCCTAATTCATTAACAGTACTAGTAATCTGAACTTATCATTGCAGGGAGAAATATCCAGTCTGAAATCACAAATCTGGCAACTCCAGACTGATGTGTCATCAGAGAGAGCAGCTAAGAAAGCAGTCGATGCTAGGCTCTCAGAATTGAAACTCAAGCTGGAAACCTCAAACTCAAGCTATGAAAAAGAGGTATGTTTCCAACGATATACACCACCTTCACACCTCAATAATTGATGAAATAAAATAACTATTATTGTCAGTCGCTAAGAAAACAGTTGACTGTACAGTGATTTCGTATTATTTAAGTTGTTTTGAGTAAATAACTCATTAAGTTAACCACCTTTAGTTGGAAACAAGCAAAGAGAACATGAACTCATACCGAATGAAGTATAACGAGTTAGCCCAGAGTACTAAGGAGATGAACGAAATAAGTGACGACCTGACAAAGAAAGTCAGACAATTAGGTAAGTGATTGTCTTGGGTTCTTCGGTAGACACTACAGGGGAAGGGTAGAGGCAATATATAAGTGCGGTGGGTGCGAGTCGCACTATTGACCTAATACCGCACTTTTCCGCACCATCGTCCAATATTCGTGCTACTAAATTGGTACACTTGGTAATGCTGTGTGTACTGTGCGGTAAGAAAAGATCGACATGCTCATAACTACGATTAGGGTCAAACGTTTTTTATGACGTAACATCATGATTAAAAACATCAGAAAGGAAGTATTACTTTTTTAAATTAGGAAAAAAAAATCATAATATAGAACGAGAATAAGTTTTAAAACGAATTACTCCGATACTCCTTGCAGTATCCCTAAGGACTAAGGAGTTTATAAAAACGCCTCACGCTTAAAGGACGATCAGATAGCGCCAAAAAACAGCTTACTGTTCTCCTGATCTACAGAGCGTTATAGTGAATAATATATAAAGACGATCAGTGAAATTGCCAGTTCTCTAGATGCTCTAGTTAAACAAGCACAACTAACAAGCACAACTAACAAGCACAACTTAACATAACAGAGGTTTAACTAATGAGCCAGACCGATTACTGGTGACTGATCAAAGCATCATTGATAAATAAACAATGTTTACATTAAAATAGTGATTATAGTGGTAGTAGTACTGATAACGCGAGCGCAGCTAGGAACATAAATACGGCGGTTGATTCTCCATGACGTGTCGACTCGACTAATCTGATCTCGATCAGCCAAATAAATTACACACATACCAGTATACACACATAAAATAAATTCTTTCGTAGGTATTGTAAACAATATAGGATTTAACCCGCTGGGTGGATATATTAGGACGCAATGAAACTACCGGACCACTTTGTATGGGGACTTGCCACCCCATGGCAACATTAAAATATATCGACTCTGTTACATCATTTCCTGTTAAGGGGGGGGGGGGGGTTCACCCTGATCCCCCCTCAATATAAAACTCCGTTGCAAATTGAACTGGGATCTGGCAATACTACACCTCAGGTTAATAAAATATGATAAAGTAATGTATAACTAGACTTAAGTAAAAGTAACAAGCTAACATTTGATCTCCAAGAATTTGAAGTGGAGAGTAAAACAAACGAGATCCGAGACCTCCGAGAGCATTGTAACGAGCTGGACAAAACAGTGAAACAGCGCAACTTGGAGATAGAGAGACTGATCAAGAAGACAGAAGAACTAGACAAGGAACTGTCCGTTAGGAGGAACGCTACTGATGTCAATGGGGAGCTGTCCGAGCTGCTACTCAATAAGGACAACCATATTCAGGTACATACCAGAAGATACAGCCCATTAAAGTGTAACTCTTGTCTCTTGCTCGCTTCTTTTCACGTAGAAGAAGTGTGCAAGAAGCTTGAAAAGAGCGCCGCGCATAGGGATTGGCGTGCTAGGTAATGCTTCTAGCTCTTATGGAGAACCATTAGTGCAAGATTAACTTTACATTAAGGAAAATGGAGAACTTAAGAAATCAATGTGCATTAAATTTGCTTCGATAGCCGGATACTGGTACGAATCGTACCGAATTTCCAGTCGGCTCAATTTGAGATATTTTGAGTAACTGCCTTTTACACTTAAGAGAATTAGGGTCATTTGAGTCTACCACCCGTGTAAAACAGTAGATGTAGCACGGCCATGTTTGCTCACCAGTCATATTGATAACAACTCACTTATATCTGAAACCCTTTAAAACACATTGCCTCCACTGCATAATACTGGCACCACATTAATCATCAAAATTTCACTGCAATTCATTGAACAATTTACCTTTTTGGATAGTCGAGATACCGTATGACTCGCAATTCATTGAACTTGAGTTTTACCTGGACACCATTTTTAGGAAATCGAGGTTAAACTGCAGAAGAGTGTTGGAGAAGTTATAGCCGCGAAATCTGAAGTGGCTGAGCTAAAGAAAAAGATAGGAACCTTGGAAGAAAGGAGAAGAAACCAAACGGAAGAGAGCAAGAAGTTACAAAACGAGGCTGAACGAGAAAGCAAGAAAGATCGGGAGTTATTACACGAAAAGAACAACACTCTAAACAGAGAAATAACTAGGTTGACAGCGATGCTTTCTCAGAATATCGGCCAAGAAAATAACGCTCCGGTGGACAATACTGTTCTGGATAGGATGACTAAAATGGAGACTGAACTTAACGAGGTGTGAAATTTCATTACTGAACTCGATTACATAATTTGAAATTTTATCATTGAATTTAACTCTCCAACATTTTCGCTCTTAAAGTGTATTAAAATAATCATGACAGTGTTCGACAACAGTCCATGTTCATTGTTCCCAGGTATCCAAGAAATATAGAGGTTCTGCCAGTGTTTTGGAGGAGAAGCAAGAAGAACTAAAGGTTCAGAAGGACGAGATAAAACTCCTCCGCATGACAGTCGAGAGTTATGACTCTAAAGTCAACGAGCAAACGGATCTGATCAATAAATTACAAAAAGAACTTACCAATGTCAAAGGTAACAGAAATTGAATAGAACTTTTCAGCTATTACCATATATATATTATTACTTATTACTGACACATAACAAGCCATCATAAATTTGTTGTTAACTGAGAGCACCGACTTGATGCCCCTTAGCAAGGATTTTGCTGCAAATAACCGGAGTACGCATGATTAGCCACAATAAAACAGTCACTCCAAACCTTCTCAGGGACCCTAGCAGTATCCCTCCTTGACGAGATCCAGCAAGCCACCGCTTCCCTTCCCCCTCAACTTGAAAAGGTACCGAGTATCATGCTGGGAGATGATGACGTCAGCAACGCACTTAGGACTATAGACGAGGCTAACAGTACCAGTACTCTTCAGAGAACTGCTACTGCTGAGAGCGAAGCTAGGTGACCATTTTACAAAATTGTCCTGAATTCAAAATATTTGTCGAGTCTTATCAAAAGGATCATATCAATAATTAACATTTGCATGGCTCTCATTCCTAAAATATTCATCCCACATCTGAAGGTAATCGGAACAATTTGTCAGGTACTACGTCGCCCTGTCTGACTACGAAGCTCCCGAGGGTTCGCAACAGACATCAGTGAAGGAAGGAGACATTGTTATAGTTCTGAGTGAGGAGAGAATGGGTTTTATATGGCTGAAGTGGAGGGAAATAAGGGACTGGTTCCTGTTGGCTATGTCGGCGAATACAACCCTAAACACCCTGTTAGCAATTACTTTTCTTATGGAGCATGATCATATTACAAAATTTGTTATTTCTGGGTATGATATCGTATCAATCATGAAAGTTCCGATGAGTTATTTTAAGGAGTAAAATATCCGATTTATCAACTACTAACGTTAAATTGCCTGACCAGGGATCAGCTCTGCCGCTAGAAGCGTACAAGTTGAATGCTGTATCTGATGACGAACTCGAAGGTGGCGGTTTAGCGCCCCCAGTCGCCCCCTCCGCTGCCTGGCTCCCTAACTCGTGCATTTGTCTCACCTGGGATCCTCCTGCTATGGTGGACGGCAAGAATCACGGCATCGCCATCGCTGGATACAAGGTAACCGTAGAGAAAGAGGCGTAACTTTGTGACCGGGGTTGACCATGAATAATCCTGCTGTAGCATTGATGTACTCTGCTTCACTACTGAAATAGAACCTCTGTTCAGGTGTATGTATCTGGTAAAGAGAAGACGATAGTATTTGGGTGTGAATCACGGGAGATAGTGTTGGAAAACATGAGCACAACCAGCCTGGGTGACATCAAGATTGTGACTATCGGGGCCGATAAACAGGAGAGCTCGCCTACTCCAGTAACTCTTCCTAAACCTCCAGAGAAAGCAGAGATACTCAAGGCGGTGCACGGTCAGTAATTTAGTTTAGCTTCAAATTGATGGATTTTCTGTTTTTTTTTCTCGAACAGACAGATCATTAGTTTAATTTAATCATGAATCATCCTGACTTTAAATTGTTAGACGGTTATATTTCTTGTATCGTGTAATATTTTATGTTCCTCAGCCCAAAACACTAGTATCGACACGAGTGCCCAGTACGTTGTGGCACTTTATACCTACGATCCGGATCTAGACAGCCCCAACGAGTTCCCGGAGCTAGAACTCGGCTTTGTAGAAGGAGACCTCATTAGGGTAAGATCTTTGGGAACTCTGCTCTGAAATAAGAACCTATTCGTATATCCATTTAGTTAAATACACGAAAGCTCAAAGCTGTGATGCCTTTGTTGATATAAGTATATGAGAACAGGCTTAAGAGTTACAATTTATTTCTAACTAATATTTTTCCTTCAGAAAGTAGGAGACACCATGCCTGACGGATTCTTCAAAGGTGAAATGTACGGCAGAACAGGGCTGGTACCCTCCAACTTTGTCCAGTTGATCCTGGACCAAGAGGGAAGTCTTGATGTCACCGGTGAGGACGTTTCAGCTGGTGGTTCTTACCGTCACAAGTATATAGCGCTCTACGATTACGATCCTATGACCCAGTCTCCAAATGACAACCCGGAAACGGAACTTGCCTTCTGTGAAGGCGATTTGATTGATATTACTGGTGCTATGGATGAGGTTTGATTTAAAATAATAGATATTATAAATTCATTCCCTTTACTGTTTCATTCCTTCCTTTTAATTATCAATTGTGTTGAACACATTATATCTCCAATCTCCGCTAACTAAACCTCAGGACCAGTACTATCCAGCTGAACTGAACGGAAAGTCCGGTCTTGTACCCAGCAACTTCGTGGAGAGTCTCAAAGAACATTCCCGATCAAAAGAAGCAGACACGCTGGTCCGGGAAGACAGCACAGAGGCTACCATAGCGACAATGTTAGCACAGGCTGCTGAAAATGTATCCCAGAGGGATCCCCTTAAGAAAAACGTCCCTAGCTCCTCCGAGTTGGATGTTAGAAATACCATGTCTGTCAGGTATGTCAAATAAATTTGATTAGCCTACCAGATTGCAATTTAATAGCTTTTTTAATAGTTCTATGATTGTTTTTACATCATCTACAAGGCAGCTTGCCTTAAATTTTGTCTGTCTATTTGCCTGTTTGTTTGACGATTTGTTTGTTTGAGACTTCTGTTGAACCGCTCTAACCCACCGCAGGACTAGATGGCATCAGAGATACCCCAATGTTTATTAATCATTCTCTTTTATCACATCTATAATTAACTATTTGTGTTTTTACTTATTTAATATTGGCTGAGCGAAGGTGTTGTATTTGAAGGAGGTTTCCAGATATACGTTTGGACAGTTCTGTTTTTAAGCTTGCGTGCAGATTTTTACTTTGGTTTCGACTTCATGCTATTTGCTTTTTCAATAATATTTATTCACAATATGTACATAAAATGTGATATTTTATCAAACATACTTATAATTGTAATATTATATATTGGTCTTTAATTTGTTATTTTTCCGAACCATTCGCCTTAAATTTCCGATTTTTCTGGGGTTAAAGACTTGGTACGTACTAAGCTATGTAAATGTCCGTGTAAATGTATACTATCTACATGTTCGTACCGTCAGTTTACCTTTCTTTTATCTATAAAAGCATTGCAGCCTGTGAAATTGAAAACAAAAACGTGTTCATATATAAATACTTGCAGAATACCTCTTGTAGTTGTAATCTGAATTATTGTGATCATTTCTCTAAAGCTATGTGATAATGTGGTGATCTATTGTGTCGGTTCAATCTTTTACAGCCCTTTTATATTGTGGCTTGTTTAGCATATTTGATATTTCCTATCTAATCATTAACTAATGATTAAGCGAGTTGAACTCTTCTAAAGCAAGTTGAACTATTCTAACTGTCAGCAAATTAGATAAAATGGTTTCTTAATCATTTGATCCTAACTCATTTCCCCTCAGTAAATCGAACTCAAAGGGGAGCCTCACTGATTCAAACTCAAAGAAGAAGAAGAAGAGCCGCCTCAATGTTTTCAAAAAATTGAGGAAAAGCCGGGAAGATGTTTCGAAAGGTGAAAGCTGAGAGTCAAGTCAGTACCGGACGTAGATCGAGGCTCGATCAATATAAAAACTGATAGAATTACCTTACCTTTCAGTCTTTTCATTTTTCTAACCTTTTACTTCTTTGTTACCTGTGGAGTGACTTTTTAACCACACATGTATAGCCCGCTAAATTTACTCCGCGTATTACGAGACAAATTGGGAATACTTCTGAGTGTAAATGTGTACCAATTATCTGTTTCTTGACATATTTACTATATAGGGTTAGGAAATTGAATGAGATAAAGAAATAGTCATTCGTAAGAGATATGCAAATGTATGGCTTCGGAGATATGCATGAAACCTAGAAACTATTTTATCTAGACCTAAATTCAAGGATCACAATTGAGATAGGATGTTTTATCTAGATTACATAGGAAAATTTCTGAAAATTTGCGATCGGTAGATCCATGTATTAAGTATTTAGATGTTTTTGATTTCGTTTGTTTTTGGAGATAGATTTTACATTGCATCAAAACAGTTTAGCTTCCAAATCACAAATTAACAATTTTTAGATGTTTATAGAATCTATCTTCATATTAAGTCAGAGTGTTTACAGTTTTAATTTTACGGGAATTTATATTTGATTTGTGTACAGTCTTTGTGAAACTTTTTCATTTCGTGTTTTAACTTTGTGAATGTCGTCGATTTGAATTTTAATCTTGATCTTGTTGAATATTTTTTATTTGTGGATTACCTACCAAACGTTTTGAGTCACGTCAAGCATGTTCAACCTCGAGTTTATTATATTACTCATGAATAAAGTAAAAAGTTGTAAAGCGTAATCGTATTTAAAATCATGCACTGAATAAAGTAAATTCTTTAATGTATTTAATCATCATTATTCATTTCATCTTTGAAAATCATCTTGTGTTAAACGTATTTATTTTTGTGAAATTAATGAACAATTTAAGTTTGAATTGTTGCCACTTTTGATTGAGAAGAAAGAGATTGTGCTTAGTGCTATGTCTTTAAGTTTTAAAATATTATCGTATTTGAATTCAATATTATATCAAATATTTATTACTAATAGATGATAGAAATGCTTACATTTACAATCTAAACAGATGTTTCATTTCTTAACCACAAAATATAATTAACTTAGTTTAACTCGTGACTCGCCCTTTTTATCTCCAACACTGGACACGTATGTGACATTTTTGCCTCCCCAGTCCTCGTGTCCCTCGCTATAGTTGAGTCCTTACTCCTTTCTTCCTTTGTCCTTCACTAGGGTACGAACAGACTGCGACAACTCTGCCTATGACTACGTGACAAGATGAGACTTTTCTCACGTCCGCTGAACACAGTACGTGCCTCTTTTTGTAAGAGATGTCATAGACTGAGTTTTCATAGCCTGTTCGTACCATAACTCTCACTCAAAATAATCACTCTACTTCTGCTCTCGCATATTATCTGGTCCTACGCTCTATTTCTTCAATATCCATCGTTCCACCACTTCCCCCCTCCTCTCTTTCTTAATAATCCTGACACTCCACCACTCGCCCCTTCAATCAATAAGTATAATTTCGTGCTCATTGATCACGTATGTAACTTTAAGTTCGAGCTAAGAGCGAGGTGTTAAGGGTCTTAAAACCCAAGAAACAGTAGTAGCTGAAGAATAAGCAGGGCGATGAAAGAGAAAACTATCTGGGCTATTACGGCACCGCTAGAACCTTCGTAAGCGCACTTAGGTAACGAGTAACTCCAAACGTTGGTACCTAGAAATTTGAAAAAGGTACTGGTTTAATTTTGAAAGCAAATATGTGTAATTTAATCTATCATCACCTGTGGACAAAAATAAGTTTCAAATGATTAGCTTGTACTCTTGAAGATTTGTTCTTACCAGTGCAGGTTACGGTTGAGTACCCAAACATGGTATAACTATCGTCACAGTTAAACTTTACAATATCTCCAGCCTTAAAAGGTGGTTGGCCCTTGGAGCCTGTCCTAGAGGTCGGGGTAAAGCCTTTGTTCACCTCAAACCTGATATCAGAGCAACCAGCTGAAAAGGGGTCCGCGTTATTCGTTATAGAAGTTGTAACTCGTAGTTCTAAAGGTCATATTGGAATCAATCAAACGATTTTCATTTCTAATTTCTAATTCTCACGTAAACAAGCGATAAGTTGGTCAGGACTAGCATCCCACCCTACAAGGTGACTACAGGATATAGTTGCTTTTCCTCCGTCTCCTACAGCCTGAGCGTACCCAACGTTACACTTCACTGACACCTGTCAGAGTAAATTCATTTTGAGGTTTTTACCAATATTGGTGCTCTTTGATATTTTCATTATCGTAATTTGAATGATGATTCATGACATATTCAAAATTTTATACTTTATGACTGTAAGGTAAATGGCAGTGCTGCAGAAAAACGCATTTCGGTTTTACTGAAAAATGGATCTTTAAGTATAACACTATTCGTTTTCTGCAATCATGATACCTTTTAATTATACGTTCAACCCACCGCGATGTTAGAATGGCGAACTGGCGCAGAGTTGAGTTCTTGGGTGGCAGTTTGTGGCGGGTACAGAGCAACTCTATCTGTTTCCAATAACCTACTGCATCCAGCTGAACAGTGAACAGTTCATGTATCTCCTTTGTACTCTCAGTGAGACTTATACACATGTCCGCATCCAGATTCAAAAAGAATTCTAGATATTTAATTTAAGACTTAATTATAAAAAAGGTGCTGTGATTGATACGGTCAAGAAACAGTTTACAGTGATAATGGAATGGACTAGAAGTAGAGGTGACACTAACGTCTACAGTAGAAGTCGTAGTACTTGTCATTCTCATCCTTAAATACATCAGGATACACACTGCCAGTATCACAGGTAGCTGTGATAGCCCCCCACGTGTCCAGGTAGGCCAGGTCAACTCCTTGAAAGAAACCAGCAAGTAATACGTATTTATCTCTTTCACTATCAGGAACATTCCAACAGCCACATTGTTACACGAGCATAACCAGCCAATTACAGGAAGCCGAAGGATTCAATTATATTTATACATTAGGCCAGTGACACTTATTAAGCCTAAAGTAGTGTGTACCACTACCATACTTTCTTCGCCCGAGACTTCGCTACAATGAGCAGCTCCTTATTTAACCCTCACACCAGGTTTCTCGAGCATTCGGCTAAGCGAACCGGGGGCTACATATATCGTCAACGACGCCTACCCCACACAAATTATTATTCTTTGTTCTTTTCAATTTCAACGGCGCTTGGATTTGAGTAATTTGACTATTGACTTTTTTTATTATTTATTATGTTTACCTTAGTTCCCAAAAATTTATCTGCCAAGAAAACTTTGGGCTCATGAATTAATTTAAGTATCAAAAATTTGTATTTATTTGCAATACAATTTGGGCGACGGAAAATTTGGGCATTAATTTTCAAAAGACGCAGTAACTTTGACGAATGATACTCCATACATTACTCGTTTAAATGATACTCGTCTACATTTTTTCGAAGCAGCCTTCTTTTCCATTTTTGAAATATGGCCCCTGGCGAAGCTTTGCTATTTGCAAAATATATAAAATTTGCTTAAAATTAAATATATAAAATGTATATAATTATAAAATATAGTGCGCACTCAGCACTGGGTCAGTCCATTAACATTAACAATGGAAAATCATTTAGTTCTCTAAAAACATCCTTCGTCGCACAAATTTTTCGGGAAAAACATGCTTGACTAATATCATTTTATAAATATAATCAATAATAATAATATGCAAAACATCGATCGACATAAATTTTACAGTTTATCATTATACTTTAAAAGGATTGCATTTCAATGAAGTTATAATTATTTCTAATGCGAGCAGGTGACTGACCTGGAGTACTTCTAATTCGGTTAGTGAAGGTGTAAGCTTCTTGAGCGCACATGATCTCTATCACGCTTTGGCTTTGTAATCGTGTCGGTGCTTTTGGATTCGTGTTCGGGTTCCAGGTAGACTTTAGGAACTGGTTAATTTTAGTTGTGTTTGATACATGATAGGATCTAAAGATTAATATGTAAATGATTTCCACTTTTTAGCAAAATTGTATAGGTGTGAGGCTATAATATATAATAGGCCATACCAATCTTTGAAATCGTTCAAAAGCTCAACCAGAACTCATGTCTTAAAACAGAAACGACTGATAGCGATGCAGCTTAGAGTTAGTACACAGTACAAAAATAACTTACCTTAACATTTCTAGCTTCAAGTTTCTGTTTATCAAGAGAACATGACGGCAAAACGGCTCGAGGGTTTTGCATAATTAACAAAACAAACAGGTACAACATGGTAAATACAGCCTACTTCCTAATGTACCTCAATACACCCAACTTTAACTTTAGGGGTCTAACACCGGTCATGGAATGAAAGGATATACTAAGCAGTTACAGTACATTGTCTTAATGTTGCCTAGTCCCATTTTTCCTTTTTTATTGCAGACCACAGATCAGAAAAGCTACCAACTCATTTAAAATTAAGTTTTATATTTCATATTTCTGCGTCTTTCCCTAAAATTTGCTAAACTTATAGTATTCCAATTTTTTAAACTTAAAATAAAAAACATTAACAAAAAATTGCCTTGAGACGTGCGTCTTTCATCATAGTTTAACGAAAGACGCACGTATAAAAATCAAACCGTTGCCAGCTTACCAGTTACCCCATTTAAAATCAAACCAAAATATGAGAAGAACTTTGTTTTAGCTTCCCACAGTGAACAAATAAAACAGTCAATTGGTAGGTGGTAATAAGTTTATCAAATCAGACATTATCAATAACTAATATCATGTTGACATTGTTAATACAGTGTAACTAGGCTGCACTACTTCTAATTTTCTAGTTAATTAACTAATAAACTAATTAACTAATTAGCTTAATAAAAGTTTGGTGAGTGTGATCTTCAAACATTGTCACAGCCACCTCATGTTATGTCAGAACGTTGCGCGGAGTTCCGGGTCACAATTATTTATAAAAATCATAAGAGATGATCTTTAAGTTTAAAAGACTAAGTTCTAAAATTATGTACTGAGTTAATGTCACAGGAACAGGTTCATCTTAAAATATAATTGCTGTCGGCGTCAGTGAACATAATCTATCAAAAATATAAAATAACGTATCAAAATGTCTTAAATAAAAACCTACTTTAGTTCTGCATACTCAAATGAAGATGAGTTTTAAGGTTTTAGTTTCGAGTTCTTTCTCAGGTTATAAAGTTTACACAATGAACAAAGTTTTCAAGCGAACGAAAATACAAGCTTGAAAAACGTAAATTGAAACATCGCACATATTTTATTTACAATCCACTAGTCTTAAGAATGGTTCAGCAGTTAAAAACATATGAACGTCGTATAAAATTAATTAAAAATCATGTTAAGTTTAAATATAACAGGGTCGCTATATAACAAATTCAGTAAGTCAGTGTCATGACTAATTATAATTGTCCTACACAGTCTCGGGTCAATAATTCCAGAACAGTTCATTTTTCAAAAACAGTTCAACAGCGATCATCAATCCTAAATGAAGGTGGTTCTATTCAACAAATAAAGATCAGGCATGCCCTGATCGTTTTCTCTATTTTAGTCGGTATTTGAGCTTGTAGATGCTATTCTCGGGGACGTTATCCTCGCAATAGTGAATGTTGGAGGAGGCCACAGTATCGGACATGGTCAAGGGTTCGTCCCTGACAGACAGACTCTCAACACACCCAGTTATTCCTGGCTCAGTGGGGGATCCTCCTAAGTAGAGATAAGGTCCCACATTGAGAGTGTTTCTCTGCCCTGGAGATACCACCTCACTTGCCCATCTGTCCACCATCAGCACGGCGTGGTTGCCTCTCAGAGTGAGGTGAAGGAAATGCCACTTTCCGTCATCAACATATCTGGGACACTCCAAGAATGCAGGACCAGCTCCCAGCTCGAAGGTCATGTAAAGACGTCCTTTGGAGATACCTATCTCGACATAGTCAGGGTGCTGACTTGACAGTTCTGTGCTGAACAGAAGTCCTGACTTGCTTGTTACCTTGAACACGATGGCCAGCATGAGGTCTTCGTTGGTTGAGTTATCAGGGTTGAGGAACTTGAGGAAACTGTTGCCGTTAAAACGGGGCGTCTGTCTGTTCCACTGCACATCGCATTTATCTCCCACAAAGTTGTGTCCACAGATACAAGAGAAGTAACGTGGTCCGTCAGAAACGCAATTGTTGTAGTCGTTAACTGAGTTCTGGCAAGCATTATCGTAACATCCCTCCATAGCACACTCAACCACATTATTCTGCTCAGCGTACTCAGGTTCCACTCCATCCACTGTCACCTCGGTGAAGCACCCTCTAAAGTTGTTCGAGAATTTCGCAGAACCACCAAGGTAAAGCTTAGCTAGTTTCCTATCTCCTTCGTATATTGTCATCATCTCTTCTCCTGTTCCTAGCTCCACAGACACAGCATTTTCGTTTGCGTCAAAAGTCATGGTTAAGTCCAACCAAGCTCCGTCGTAACCTTTAATGTAGATAGTCTCCTGAGCCATACCGGTCAGTTTGATACTGGTTGAGTCGATAACCAGACTTACTATATCTCTACCCTTCTTGTCGTAACCAACAAAGACGGCTCCAGTCCCCTGAGCTGCCAGGGATAAGATGTAGGAATGTTTGTCAGTTTCCTGGAGTAACAGGTAACCGTCCCTGTTGAAGCTGGGGTTGCGTGACGGTCTGTCTTTCTCACAGTACTGGCCAGATCGACCCAAGGGACAGTCACAGTGTCCGATCTCGTTACACTGACCACCCTCTCCACACTTACCAAGATGTCCTACTATGCAAGTGTTACCACCTTCACAGTACTCAATACCCTCGAATTCAACTCCGTTAGATCCCAGGTCTTGACCAAGGTCGTAGAAGCATCCCACAAAACTGTTTGTCTTCGTAGAGTCTCCGATGTAGAACTGATGTCGTTTACGGAGAATGGTCTTCAGTTGTGTCGTTTTCAAAGTCATGACATCCGATTCAGAGTTGACAGTGAGTGTGATTGCTTTAGAGTTTGCTTTAATGTGAACCTTGTTCCATTCCTCGTGATCTAAACTTGCCGATGATATTTTGGTGTAAACCTTCCCGTCAAGGTTAGCCGTGAAGACCATGGTGTTAGCTTCTGTGGACATAGCATTGAGGTAGAAGTTATCGTACGCGAGGTGGAAGACAAATCCTGACCTTTCAGGTCGGAATCGGAATTCGAAACCTTTAGCGATATCAACAATTGATGTTTCAAACGCAACGAACGATTGAGCCGAAGAGAGATAAGGTACGACAATCTTGGTGGCACAGTTAGGTCCAGAGAAGGGGTACTTGCACTCACACGCGAACCCGTACTCTGAAACCACACAACTTCCACCGTTTTGACAAGAGTCATCATTACACTCTGTGACCCGGATCTCACAGTCATCACCAGTCCATCCCTCCAGGCACCTGCACGTTCTTCCTTCTCCCACCATTCCAACCTCGTAGCACTCTGCTCCGTTTTGACAAGGATTACCATGACACTCGCCCAGTGTAACCTCACATGTCTCACCAGCATAGAACTCCGGGCACTCGCACTCGAATCCACCGTAGGTGTTGGTACAGTTAGCACCGTTGTGACAGGGGGTGTTGGCGCACTCGTCCACATCTCGTTCACAGAAATGGCCTGAGAACATGCCCTCACAGTCGCAGGAGTATCCGTTAAGCTCGTCCACACATCTGGCAAAGTTCTCACAGCGGTTAAACCTGCAGTCGTCAGAGTTTATGCTACAGTTTACCCCCTCGTAGCCCTGGGGGCAGATACAGAAGTGGTCGATGCCGTAGTTAAAGCAGCTGGCACCGTTTTGACAAGGATCGGGAGAGCACCTGTCTGATTTCTCCTCGCAGAATTCTCCGGTGTACAAGGCGTCACAAAGACAGGTGAAGGAATCATAGCCATCCATACAAAAACCATTTCCATTACAGGAGTCCTCAGTGCAGTCGTCAATATTGATCTCGCAGTCTTTGCCTTCAAATCCTGGGTGACAGTGGCAGTTGTAATCTCCAAACACGTTCAAACAGATTCCCTGACCATTAGAGCAAGCTGTCTCTTCAAGACACTCGTCTACATCTAGATCACACTGTTCCCCAGTGTACCCTGCATCACAGACACACACGGGAGAACCCTCTTCAATCCCACACTCTCCGTCATTACAGTTGAAAGCATCACACGCTGAACTGGAACAGTCGTGTCCGAAGAACGGTTCAGGACACTCGCAGACAAACATGCCCGCTTTTGTGGAGCAAACTCCGCCGTTCTGGCACGGTTCATTCTCACACATGTCCAGGATTATCTCACACTGATCTCCAGAGTAGCCCATAGAACAGAGACAGAAGTACTTCCTGTCATCAAACAGGGAGACACAGGTTCCCCCGTTCTGGCAGGTATCTTCAGCGCAGTTATCAATAGGTTCCTCACAGTACCTTCCTTGCCATCTCTCCGTACACTCACACTCGAACTCATCATTGGTCTCCACACAGGTAGCGTTGTGCTGACACTGTACTTGAGCACAAGTATCAGACAGATCACAATCTCTCCTTACCTTTCCATCTCCACACTCGCACTCATAACTCTCCTCAGTTTCAGTACAATTTCCCGCTAAGTCTCCGTGGGTGCAAGGTGTTAGAAGTTCACAGAATGCTTTGTCTTGACAATCAAATCCGTGGTAACCTTTAGGACATGGTTTGCAGAGGAAGGAGGTTCCTTCAACAGAGAAGCATCTAGAAGTATCGTTACAAGGATTAGGTTCGCACATGTCTATCAGTTCTCCACAAACTGTTCCGGTGTAACCAGCGGTGCAGTCGCACGTGAAGTTTGTGTCTGATGTCTCTAGACACTCTGCTCCATTAAGACAAGGGTCGAAGTAGCAGGGTGGGTATGTGCCCTGAGAGAGCTTATTTCCGTGGGTAGGAACCAACTCCACTCCATCAACTGCTACAGAGAATATGCTACCTGTAAAACTGTTATCTCCGAGTCCGATGAATACTTCTTTGTCCAGTTTGGTTTCAGACGAGAACTCCATTTCGGTTACATCATCTCCGTTAATAACATTGATGTGATTCATCTTCCTTTCAAAGGTCAGTGTCTTTACGGTACCATCAGCAAAGGTAAAGTCACTCAACTTAAACTCTAACATTTTCTCTCGGTCTTCCACGAACATGGTGTTGATACGTAAAATAACTGCATCTTCTTCGGTATTAATGAGTGGTGAAGAGAACTCGATCTTCAGAGAGTTCCCAACATCAAAATGTTTGTGATACGCCACATAACCGGCAGTGATCTGAAGTGGTACAAAATAGACGGTCTCCTCACAGAGGTCTCCTTGTAGGAGGTCGTTATCACACTCGCATGTTCCATCTCCGACACATGAACCTGAAGCACATGGACTGATACCGCAGAGTGGGGGAGCACCGTCCGCATTTACTTTTACTACACGACTAAGAGATCCGAGGAGGGAGTCTGCGTTCAGGTGGAACTCGCTTATTTGACCAACAAAAGGACTGAATGGGATGTTTGCGTCAAAGTTTTTCACAAGATGGTTAAGTCCAAAGAAGTCTCTTACTCCACCAACATATACTGTATTCCTACGGAACAAATCCACGGACTCGTATTTGGTTCGGACAATGTTATTTACATATTTACCACTCACGGCAAGTGACGCTTTCTGAGCGTGTAGGGTAAGGGTGACGGTATTCCATGATTCGGCTGATAATTCAATACTCATTGTTTTGAATAAATCTGATTCTTTGTACAAGCCGAAGTGAACGGCTCCGTCTTTAAGAGCAAGATAGAATAAAGATTGTGGGACAGTCTTTTCTTTGTACTTGCTGGCACCGTACAACATGATACCCTCATCTGTCTCAGATTGGAACCTTATCTTGAACTCGTTACTCTCTCCATACTTGGTGTCCACAACAGCGTAGGAGTTGCTTCCTAGGAAGGTGAGAAGTTGGGGTGTTCCAGCACAATCAGGTCCAGACGGACTACGTTCACACAAACAGCCGTGTCCTCTTGTTCGTTCGTAGCAGATGTTGTCGCTACCACAAGGACTTCCCTTGCAGGGAGGGGTATAGTCTTCTGTAATATCTCGAGATTTGGCTGAGACAAAATTTAGTCCGATACTATCTTTCAGTTTTGCCTTTCTGCTGTTCAGAGTAATGGGCTGAATTTCACCAAAGAACCCTGGGATGGATGATGCTTCCAGGTCGGTTCCAGCAATGTCGACACTCGCAGGGATAGAGCCGAAGGTGATTGACCCGTCTAGATTCATATCCTGAATATGGGTGCAATCAAACAGTTCCACGTTATTATCGACAGAAATGGACATAGTGTTGTGATTTATGTGCACTCTAATCAGACTCCAGTGATCCATTTGTACTGTATGCGAGTGCTCTCTTGAGATGTACTCACCTGACACCATACAGTCAAAGAAAATATTACCGTCAAGATACATGGCACAGAAGCCATTACTTCCCTCGAACATCACAATAAATCCTCTGGGATACTCAGGATTGATCTCCATATCAAACTTGTACTCTGGATTGTTTCCTTCCAATTTCTTATACTGGTTTCCAGGGAATGCGAGGTGGCTGTCAGCTTTGAATGAGGGTATGATAATGAGGTCTGTGCATAGTTCACCATGATGGGGCCAGCTACACACACATTGGGGTCCCCTACTTGTGTCACGACAACCTCCAGGACACTCCGTGGATTGACAGTTCTCTCCAACTTCAATCTCACAGAGATCGCCTCGGAATCCAGCCAGACATTGACAGTACGGTCCGACTCTAATACCTCCGTTTTCACAAGGGATAGGTGCTTCTTCAGTTGGCTCAATAGAAATGTTGATATCATCTATTTCATCGTCATCGTCGCTGCATTCATCAAAACCTCCTCCTTCAGCCATGTTGATGATATCAATGTTACCAATATCTACCAGACATCCAGTGTACGAGCTGATAGCCTCTCTCTTAGCACTGGGAACTGCACCGAACTGCATACCTCCACTTGGTGACGCATCCTTTTTCTCTGAGAAGACGGAAACATCAGTCTGGTTACCCACCATCAGTTCAAGGTAATCATCCACTAAAATAACGCTGACGGTAGCAAATCTATCGGTGATCGGTAATTCAAGCATCGTTTCTTCCAGAGTCAGCTGGATCTTTGAGTCGAACAGTTTCAAACTGAGCTGACCAAGAGATGTGGCCTGTTCGAAAACTTGTTGTTCCGTTGTCATGTCCCTGATCTTCAGTCCCATCTTAAGTCGAACTCCTTTCTCAGTGACCTCTCCAAGAGGTATGGATGCCTTGCTCTGTGGATTGAACTGAAGAACACTAGCTTTCTTCTCGCACTTCTTGCCCACCCATGGTAGGTTACAGTTACAATCGAATCCTGATCGTGTGTTTGTACATACACCATCGTGCAGACATGTTTCAAATTGACAAAGTTCAATATTACAATACTCGCCCATAAAACCAACATCACAAACACATACAGCAGCACCATCCTCTTCGGCACAAGTTCCATGGGGGATACAGGGGTTGTTCTCTTCACTGCATAACTCACTGGGATGTTCACAATTGTCTCCAGTGTACCCTCCAGTACAATTACATTGGTACTCAGTAACACCCAGATTCTCACAGTCAGCCATATGGAGACAAGGTTCCAGATCACAGGGCTCCACGACCCGCTCACAATGGGCACCTCCGAACATTTCAGGACAGTCGCACTCGTAGCTTCCCAGCGTGTTCCGGCACGTACCCCCGTTCTGGCAGCTGTTCTCCAGAGTGGAGCACTCGTCGATATCACTCTCACAGTTATCACCGCTATAACCAACACAGTTACAAGTATAAAATCCAATACCCTGAGTACATTCCTGCCCGTAGAAACAGGGAGAAGGTGCACATTCATCGATATCAGTTTCACAGTTCTTGTCAGCGTATCCAAGAGGACATGTACACTCGTAGTCGTTGATCAAGTCAGTACACCCTCCTCTTACACAAGGATCACCCTCACACTCGTCAACATTAGTTTCACAGTTAGTTCCAATGAAGCCAGGAACACACGTACACGTGTACCTGTTCTCGCATTCCTCCTCCACGCATTCCGAACACTCTGCATCGTTCTGGCACAGTTCAGTGTCCGCACAAGGATCCCTCAGAGCCTCACAGGTCTTACCACCGTATCCTGGCTGACACTCACACTCAAAGTCCAGGATCTTATCTTTACACGAAGCACCGTTCTTACAAGGGTCGCCAGCACATTCGTCTATGTTTGTCTCGCAGTAGTCTCCTTCAAACCCATCGTCACAAGCGCAAAGTTCGTTGTCTCCATCTATCTGACAGAGCCCGTTATCTCCACAAGGACTGATAAAACAGGGCGGGTGCTTGTTCTGGCAGGTGTCCCCGTGGTACTGAGCAGTACAGGTACACTCAAAGTACCTCTCCTCACCCTCCACTATCGTCTCACAACCTGCCCCATTGAGGCAGGGCTCAACAGCACACTTGTCAAGGGGGTCATCACAGTTGTCACCCTGATATCCTTCATCACAGGTGCAGGTGTAATCTGCTATCCCGTCCTCACAAGTACCGTGGATACAGGGGTTAGCAGCACACTCATCTATATTTGTCTCACAGAGAGTGCCCTCCCAGCCGTCATTACACTGGCACTGAAAGTTACAGGTGTTAACCAGACTGATGCACATGTAGGTGTTCTCTGAACACTGCCCCGTCTCACAGAAGTCAACCTCGTCCTCGCAGTGGTCTCCGGTAAAGGCACAGTGACACTCACAGTGGTAGCCCAGGATCTCGTCTACACAGGTGCCTTCATGGAGACAGGTCACGTTTTGTGAGACACATTCATCAATCTCAGTCTCACAGGTTGTTCCTTCAAAACCTGAGGTCGGGATACTGTTAGAGACACACTTAACTAAAACAGTGGGTTATTGCTATTGGAAAGCTAGCTAATAAAAAGATAAAAGAACCTAAACTTAGTAGTCCCACAAACTGAATATAAAATATGTTTAATAAATGCACTTATAGGAGTAAGCTGTTACCTGTCTCAGAACAGTCGCACTGGATCACGTTATCTACAACACTGCAAGTACCGTTGTTGAGACAGCTGTCAGGTTCACAAAACTGCAGCTCTACCTCACATCTTGATCCAGTATACCTAGTCGAGGGTTGGATTATCAGGATTGCATTATTATATTTCTAATATGTTTACCTCATATGAATACAGTGAACTACAATTTGCAAATAAAAAAGGGAGCGAGAGAGTCTTACTTTTCAGAACAGAGGCAGTTGTATCCAGCGATACCATCAGAACAGACTCCACCATTAATACACTGGTGGTCGACACAGTCGTCTGTGTTAGTCTCGCACAGAGCACCTTCATATCCATCCAAACAGACACATTGGAACCTGAAACAGTCGTCTTTAAAATTGGCACAAATCAAGACGACGGCTTAGTGGCTCAGTTGGTTAATCCGCCTGGTATTGCTTGAGGTACCAGGTTCGATTCCCGACTCTGTCACTAGCCGTGGGGTGAGCGTCGTCGACGCTCAGCTAAGGATCCTGAGTGGTCTATGCAGCCCCCCGGTCCACTCAGCCAAATACTCGAGAAATCGGGTGTGAGGGTTAAATGAGGAGCTGCCCATTGCAGCAAAGTCTCGGGCGAAGAAAGTATGGTACACACTACCTTAACCGTCACTGGCCTAATGTATAATTGAATCCTTCGGCTTCCTGTAATTGGCTGGTTACACACTTGTGTAACAATGTGGCTGTTGGAATGTCCGAAGTAAAATAAGTGTTGAGATAAAAAAAATAGAGCACATCCATAAAATATCGAGTTATTCTGTTTCTTTTCATATTATGGATACAGCCCAAGATTAAATCTTGGGCTGTATCCATAATATGAAAAGCGCTTCAGCAGCTTTTCTAAAAAAGACCTAAGAATATTTCCATGGGAGAATAACAGTTAGTAGAAAGCTACAACTCACCCTCCGTCCTCATTGACGCACTCAGCTCCGTTCTGACAAGGAGACGCCGCGCACTCGTCCACATCCTCCTCACAAGTATCTCCCGTCCACTGGTCCGGACAGTCGCAGGTGAAGGTTCCTAGTCCGTCACTACACACACCCTCGTTAGCACAGGGTACTGATGCACAGTCGTCTATATTCTCATCGCACAGTTCACCTGGTATTAAAGGGTGGAGTTAGAAATGAGTTTACAATTTACTGAGTTATCCAGACATCGGGATCTCAGGAGTGTGGATTACTGGCTACCATTTGATGGGACGCTTCACGCTTCATTACTTCATACGTTAAAAATAGTGTCACTACTACTACTATTACTACTATTAGTGAACTCTTATATTTGACAGTACAGTAATGTAATACTACTATCCCACTAGAATAAATATGAAAATATTAAACAGATAGATTATACGTCTAGTGCTGACAAGTGGGATTAAATTCGGGATTTAATATCATTAGGCTAATGATAGTTTAACCGTTAACATTAAAACGGGCAATTACACCATAAAAACGTACGTTTGAGCATTTCAACACTGCTTAGCTGGTTAGTTATTAGTAGGATCGACACTCATAACGTGCACATTTTTATAAGAAAGTAGGTTTTTTAAATACAGTATACATGATTTAATTTAGGTCTGTTTTCCGAAATCTTACAAATTAGATTATTACAACTATTATAGCATTGTGTGTTTTTTTGAAAACATTGTTCTTGCGTATGCCTTATCTGTTTAAAGGTTACTCAAGGATTGGAGCCGATGTGGGAGCCGACAATGAGGCCTGAGCAATTCAGCATGCCTACCTTCTCCAAATTCATTACTGGTCGAAGAGGATGTCAACAGGTGTCAGGTACTAGACTCTGACGGATACATTGTCATTTTAACCCCATAGGAAACCTTCTGTGACTGTAATATGACATGTTTTGTAGCCCGCATACGACATACGACATTTACTTTGGCTTTAACAAGTTGGTATGTATGGGTGTTTCAGTAAAATCAATTGTATTGTATGTATATTTGATTGATACAATTAAATTTTTTGTCACCCGTTAATCTGGTGATATCCCCTTAGCCTTATTTGGTGTTTTAGAAGACAATTGTTCGTTTCAACTGTTTGCTCCGACGAGAAGAGAAAGAGCCGCTCAGACATGGGCACCGTATTGAGTAAATTATGTAATTATATATTTAAATAATTTACTCAATACGGTGCCCATGTCTGAGCGGCTCTCCTCCAAAAACTTTCTCTTGTATATCTTATACAATATCATTGCCTCATAAGCTCATAGATGTGGGGTAGTAAATACTAAATATTGTGTTTCGTTTCATTTCATGAGTGCAAATAGATTACGTTACTAGTAGATCTATGTAGTGGGTCTGCTCCTTTTGTTACTGAGCCACACATTTATTATTGATGCAATATGGCTCAAGGTCAAAAGGAAATCGCGGCACTTGCGGAATCGCGATTTTTCCCATCCTCCGCGACAAATTCATCAATTGTTAAGACAATTAATCTATATTATAGCTTTATAACATACCTTTGCGGACACGATATGGACATAAACTCATGAGGGTAAAGGAGATATTTCTACGAACATATTGATAGTGAAAAACGTATACAAAGGATGCCATAATGCTGGCAACATTACATGCCCCAACCTTTAAGTCATACACTCAAACCAACTAGCAAGTCATTACCCTACGAACCAGTCTACCCATAATTCATAATTTTAATCGTGCAATTAATACATTATCTTTCGCTGCGATTTTCGAGATTTTCGCCACGATATTCATATTGCCTAGTTGTCGCGGCGCCGCGATTTTTGGCCTAAATTATCACGATTTTCTTTTGTCCTTGATATGGCTTTATAAGTTTTCATATTGCCTAGTTGTCGCGGCGCCGCGATTTTTGGCCTAAATTATCACGATTTTCTTTTGTCCTTGATATGGCTTTATAAGTTTTTGATCTATTTTATCATAATTGCTTTATCGTCGAAATTGTGAATGTTTCAAATCAAATCAAATCAAATCATGCAGTTGATCCAAATTCAGCTGCGACAGGTGCCTTCTCTAAGCGTACACATTGTGAGGATTTCTCGGAATTTATCTCACTCGGGTTTTGGTGTAATTTTAGCCTAACTGAACAGTTGGTCACTGCAACTATTGTTTTCATAAGAGCATGACTTTTTATTCTTACCCAAAATAGGAAATCATACTACAGAGCACAGTGAATACTATACCAAGAGTATTATTTTTATCTTCCTCGGAGAAAAAAAAGTAGTAAACTTCCGAGGTTGCTTTTTAGTTCTTTTAACAATTTTTTTAAATGTAACAAATCTATATCTCAAGGCTATGACAACTCCGCCTAGCGGTACAACAGTAACAGACAGTAATGATGTGCTATGGTGGAGATCTTATTACATCGAGAAACTCCAGACTTCTGACCGGGTGGTAGGCTCGGTGCTAATCTTAGCCATCTTAGTTGGACTTTTGGGGAACGGATCTGCCGTATGCTACTTTTGGTCGAGAAGAAAAAGAACAATCCACGACCTGCTTTATCTCGCCATAACAACCGTTGATTTTCTTACCGTTTTATTGGTTATTCCTGTTGTGTTACCTCTCTTCAACTACCGATATAAAATGCTCTTCAAGAGTAAAGTGTTCTGCACTGCATGTGCTTCCGTCATTATGTTCACAGCAAGAATGTCCATGTTTCTGGCGATGATGATCTGTATTACTCGCACTATTGCCATGAAATGTCCTAACCGTATTCTCAGTCGATTTTGGGTGATTACTGTTATTGTTGGATATGCTACTTATATGTTGGTGATCTACTTGATCTACCTCCCTCAAAGATGGCAATATGGTGAATACTATTTTCATCTGTCTTCTTGTATACTTGAGACTTTGGACTTTAACAATGTAAAATTTGCTACATATTATGGGATGATTTCTTTCGCTGTGGAACTAACTTTACCATCACTGATAACTTTTATCTGTTTTGTTGTCAGCACGAGGGTGCTGATGACCCGGCCAGCACTTAGTAACGAAACAGACAAAAGAATTCGCCGTGTTTCGGTCACAATCTCAATTTTCACTGCAGTTTTTCTGGCGTTTAACATACCTTGCTTCCTCTATCAGATATGGGAGATTCTTGGGGCACTCAGTCTCCTACCATTTGATTCGGAAATATTTGATCCTCTAGATGTTGTATTCCTCTATTCTCAACTCATGTTACAGTTTTTCCCGATATATCTGAACGCTGCAATCAACCCACTCCTTTACTTGCTAAGGATGAAAGGGTACCAGAACTGGATTCGGCAAGCTCTTAAAAGAACGTAGAGAAATTATCAGACACGATTTATGAAAAATAATCTGGCACCTAGCCTAGCTAAACATGAAGATATTATCCTTACAGCTTCTTAAATTCAATGTTTTTTACTGTTATTCAAATAAGATTTAACATTTGCTGTTATTTGAAATTCTGTTCTGTAATTAACCTTTCCTGATCTTTCATTTTTTATACATTTATTGGTACCGAATAGCGTACTCAACCGAATGCTTAATATCCCGATATCCGATGATAAGGTAAGCCTAAACAAGGAAAATCATGCGGTTTGGTAGGTGGATGGATCGGTGTCTATCTGGTCACAATTATTATACCGTGAAAGCAGTTATTTGATAGCTAGTTATTTAATAACTAGTTATGTAACAGCGAGTTTTTTTAATGTCTTGAAGTAATGACTTAAAATCGAAATGACTTACCGGTAAATACAATGAACAAAATTATGTTCCTGAACATAATAGCGATAATGCTGACAATCAGCTCACTGCAACAAAATGAGTTGACGGTGTCTGCAACAGACACCGTTCATATGATGCGCAATAGCTTGGGTGCGTGATCGGGCTTACAAAACGGCTCCGGAGATAAACAAACTTACTGAACCACGGCAGTAAAAACATTGCTCTTCACAGGTTATCAGTTAGACGTTATAGGAGTTTAGAGTAGAAGACACTGACCTGTGTAGAACTCAGGGCAGACACACTCAAACTTGCGGTCAGGTAGATCCACACACTCCGCATCATTTGCACAGGGGTTCATCGCTCCCTTACATTGTCCTGAAGGGGAAATGTAATTAAATACATTTAATGTGCCTAATTATATTTAATTATAATTAAACATTATTAATTGATAATTCTGGAATTCTATACCGTTTTTGTTGAACGGTAGGGAACTGTAATTGTAAAAGTGTAGTAGAGGTATTGAAGTTACTCAGGCATGTTGAACAGTAACATCAGGTTCACAGAGTGTTTTACTTACCAACATAAACATCACAGTTGTTTCCCTCGTAGGCCACATCGCACTCGCACGTGTAATCAGCTACTCCGTCAACACAGGTACCGTGCACACAAGGCTCACTGGCGCAGTCGTCTATGTTAGTTTCACATCTCTCTCCTTCAAATCCTAGAGAGATGTTATTGTTAATGATTTGTTGAGTTTAATTTCTTCTTCTTATTAAAAATAAACCCGTCTGAGCAAATAAGGGGAGGGATTATCAAAATTGGGCAGGGATTATTTATTAAGCGGGAGTAACAGCAGGATTAATTAAAATAATCCTTCTCTTAGCAGTATCCCAGAGGTGTTTATGTTAGGTTAATGCCATGTGAGATGTTCTGGAACATTCTTGAATATGTTGTTGGCTGGAACATAATCAACGTCGTATATTGATCATTCTGTGAACTACGTATATAAATACGGTTTATCAGAACTTAATGAAACTTGCACGAGACTGTCAGGAAGCACCTGGCGATAACCCCGTCCGGCCACCACTTGGCGGGAGACATACATTCCTCGGCTAATGGAGTTCAGCATTAAAACTCTCCGCTTATCATGTAATCTTGCCTGGTATAATATATATCAAACTGCAAACAATCACTGAATCACTGTAAAAGCATCTTCAGAATCTTTTCAGTGCAATTACTTCAAATTACCTTAGAACGCTTAAATAAATTACAAGTTATAATATATTATTATTAATTACATTACGAAATGTGTTGACCCGAGCTGCTGATAAGAATAAGTTACTCGGCGGACATGGCATATAAAATCACTAACTCACTCTGGTAATCTGTTATTCTTTTATAAATCTCGGCACATTGTTAACTTGATATCAATATGATGTTACTTTTAGTCCTGTTAATTTTGGTTGGTGTGGGTGTGACACAAGATGATCCTAACAAGGCAGCAGAAACAGAGAGAAAGCTTAGTATATGCCCAGGTAAGATATTTTGTATCGTAACAAATCGAATGTTCAACCTTTTAAACTGAAAGTTTCTCTATAATATGTACATATCTCACAAATCTATATTTATTTAATGTAATACTGACTCGAGTGAGCTTCTCAGTTTGATCATAATAACTAGCTATGTTATCGTTTTCAGAACATAGAGAGACGCTCAAAGACCTGATGACCTCAAACAAGTGTTCCAACGACGAGCGAATTCCTTTAACAGACATTGCCGACGAACTGGCAGAGAAACTGGCAGACTTGCTGTTGGAAAGTGACTGGGAAGTCCTGAAGGTGAAGGGTGCACGGTCTCGTAGAGCACCACGATGCGGTCGGGTATGCACTCCCACTTGCATGTACCGATCTACTGGGCGTTGCTATTACTCGGGTTGTGAGAATGTTCGGTCATATCCTTTGACCGAATCGCCGGATGGGGGTTATGGCGATTTAATGAGGATTAAGTGGCGCAGCGGCAGTGTGACACAAGATGATCCTAACAAGGCAGCAGAAACAGAGTGAAAGCTTAGTATATGCCCTGGTAAGATATTTGTATCTTATCAAAATTAGATGTTTAACCTTTTAAACTGAAAGTTGCTCTGTAATACCTATCTCACAAATCTATCTTTATTTAATACTGCCTCGAGTCATTTTCTCGGTTTGATCATGATAACTAGCTATGTTATCGTTTTCAGAACATAGAGAGACGCTCAAAGACCTGATGACCTCAAACAAGTGTTCCAACAACGAGAGAATCCCTCTAACAGACATTGCTGACGATCTGGCAGAGAAACTGGCAGACTTGCTGTTGGAAAGTGACTGGGAAGTCCTGGTAAAGAAGGTGAAGGGTGCACGGTCACGTAGATCACCAGGATGCGCCCGGAGGTGCACTCCTAGTTGCAGAACCGTGTGTACTAACAGCTGTTATTGGAGTTGTGGGTCTGGTTCAGATTTTACCTCTCCGTTATATTCTCATGACGGAGAATAGGTACAATGTTGCCCGGTTGTTAGAGGGCTATTAGCCGACTGTATCGACTTTCAATATCTAACTTAATTCACTTTTTTCTCTATCGGGTAATTAAAGATATTTTTAAAGTTAAAGATTCAGCCTGAATTTATTCAAGATAATGTTTAATATAATATACGTAGATATATATTTTAAATGGTATTATTTTTGTACTACGAAGTAATATTTTATAGCTGATCGATTAACGGAACCCGTCGATTTGTGTCATATCAGAATAAAATCTTTCTAGGTAATAAAACGTGGAAACTAGCAACCATTGTCACCAGCAAATAATTAACCAACTGACCTGATGGACAGTTGCACCGGAAGTTGGTTTCATCAACATTACTACAAGTAGCTGCGTTCTGGCACGGCTCCAAGTCACAAGGTGCTGGGGCGATCTCACAATACTGTCCGCTGTACTTGTTTACACAGTCGCATCTGGAGTTAGAAAACATTTCATTAACTTAGAATATTTTACTAGTGAAAACTAATTACTAGATTGTATACTCTCTCAGTACAAATTAAGTAGCTCAGTCATTTGAAAGACTAATAATTTGGCATTAATGCTTTTACAATTGTATGTTTTTACAATTGTCCATATTTAGAATTTAATTCCCAGCAAGCGCAACAAAGAGCAGCTGATATGATCAACTTGGTAGCCATGTATGAGACTCTGGGTTTATACCTGAAATCAGCGATGAGGTCCACACACTGTGCCCCATTAAGACACTGCTGACCATAATCCTCACACTCGTTCCTGTTTATCTCACAGTTAGTTCCCTTCCATCCAGCCTGTTAGGAGTTATTCACAGGTCACAAGATGTGCAAATTAGCTTTATCTCCATCTCAATTTGAATTAAACATTGAAAAACATAAAAAGTCAGAGAATTATGCATGATTCGATCAAATGTTCGGCTGTATTTATAATGACTGTAATGGCTGTAATTATAATGACCAACAAGTAACTATTAATAAAACTAACTTACCCTGCACATGCATCGGTATTTTCCTGGCAAGTTAATACAGATACCGTTAAGACAAGGACTGTCCATACACTCATTGACATCACCGCACTGGTTAGACTTCCTCTCGAACCCAGGCATGCAGGCACACTCGTACCCGTCTATCTTATCCTGACATCGGGAAAACCTGGAGGCAGGAGTAGATTAAATATAGATAAATATCATAAAAGCAGGTACATGATACGAGCTATGGGGATAAAAACAGGTACATTTTGCGAGGTATGGGGATAAAAACAGGTACATGATCCGAGGTATGGGGATAAAACAGGCACATCATCCGAGGTATGGGGATAAAACAGGCACATCATCCGAGGTATGGGGATAAAAACAGGCACATCATCCGAGGTATGGGGATAAAAACAGGTACATTTTGCGAGGCCATCAGCAAATTATTTTCGGAAACTTGTAACAGAAAATTATATCCCACTCACAGTATCCTCTGACATGGATTTCCGACACAATCATTAGGGTTGATCTCACAAAACTCTCCCGACAAGCCCTGGGGACAATCACAAGTGTAATCATCATGACTCCCGATACAGGGTGTACCGTTCTGACACTCCGACACCAGGTCGCAACTGTTCTCCATCTCCTCGGAGCATGTATCCCCCAGGTAGCCCATGGCACAGTGGCAGGTAAAGTTGTGGTGCTCCTCGTGGTAGTCGCACCGGGCTCCGTTCTGACAGGGTTCCGCGTAGCAGTGACTCTCAGGGTTCTCACATCTGTCTCCTGAGGGGTATAGCTCTAGCTGGTTACTTGCTATTTACTTTATACATACAAGGACTGGAATATTGGGTACTAGATCAGGTAGATTAGGATGATGGTTAGGATGATGGCATTAGTTTGATTTGACCAAACTAATGCCTTTCATTGCTTTATAACGTGATAGCACACAAACCTCCGTATCCGATAGGACAGTCGCAAGTAGCGGAATCTCCAAGTTTCTCGCACACTCCACCGTTAGTACAATCCAACAGCTCACAAGGGTCTACTGCCACCTCACATGTAGGTCCTGGGAACGTTACAGAAGATAAAACATTTACAAAATACAAAGAATTTCGGTTTAACAGATCACATTATTGGATACCCCTTTCTAGATGAAGTTTTGTCCAACTGTTGGAAAATTCGGCAGCTGTCCAGTAACTGCGGTTATTGCTATTATAAATCAAGAGGCTTGCATATAATGAACATATTGACACGGGTGCAGAGTTGAGTCTGTACGGAACCTAGTAGTTTCAGATCCTTGTTTAACTTGCCGTACAGCAAGGTCATCCACTACTTTAGCCCGGCGAGGCACATAACTCCCTCTACAACTCCATGACAAATGTTTCACATATACTAGCCGAGTTCACAAGAATATATCCTTGTGTTTGAGAAGAGCTCGTTAGAACTGCTTCCTTTCCCTTCAGTATCCCACAGTCTCTCGAGTTTCGTAACTGCCAGAGAACTCTCTTAAACAATTACTAGACTCGGTGATTATAATAGCTACAATCTACATACCAGTCCATTGTTGAGGACAAGTACAAGAGAAGTCGGATGGATCCTGGCCCTGAGCACACTCTCCATTGTTCTTACAGGGTAGTTTGTAGCATTCTCCACGGAGTGTTTCACAGTTATTTCCAGTGTATTCTTCAGCTGTAAAAACAAGGTACAGATTAGGCATGTGTCGGGAATGAGTATTGGGAAACATAAACACGAAGATGTGCCGCGCTGCAATGTTTTTAATTTTACTTCACCAAGTGGTTTAAAGTTACCGAAATCTTATAACATAATTGCCAGAACTAAAACATATTTTTGTCAGAGAGAAAGAGAGAGAGAGAGGGATAACTTACTACAGTCGCAGAAGTAGGCCATGTCGTTGCTGATACAGGTAGCCGCATTTTGACAAGGGTTAGGTTCACAGTGGTCCACGAGTGCTTCAGTAGTAGGTGCATCTGTGGTGGGCTCCGTCTCAAAACTCTCAACTATGTCTGTGCAGACCTCACCTTCATACCCGGGGTAACATTCGCACCTGGGTGGTTCAATCTGTTTACAAATCTGATGCAGCACTGTTTTCTTAATCAGACCTATCATGTATCAGCTACTGCCTACTGGTAAACAAGTTCAATTAAATGAAATATTTGTGAACAATTAACAAATATCCAATTCTCTCTAGAAACATTCCACGATGCAAGAATACAGCTACACTTACTCGAATCTGTCGTCTAGACTGACGCATCTGGCGGTGTTGACTGGGTCACAAGGGTTATCCATGCACCTATCAACTGACATGCAGTCTCTACCAGACCAACCCTCCTTACAAACTCGTGCTCCTTCTACAATCTCACATCGGCTCAGGAAGACACACTGGTCCATCTGAGATGGAACGTCACCTTCCTCCCTCTCACACCTGCCACCTGGAATGTAGCTTGTAGAACACAAGGAAATATTTTACTTAAATCGATTAGCCAAAAGTGTAGAAATTATGGGAATGCTTTATTAATATTCAACAAATTTGAGTCTGATTTATCTTGGATAAAGTGAAAGAGCAATTTTACGCTCAATTTGAATAATACATGTGTTTTCAGTTCGGTTTGCTTACCAGTGAACCCATCGTTACAGGTGCACACAAGAGTTTGTGCTAGGAGGTCCTCAGCACATTCCCCGTTACCACTACAGGCGTTCTCACTACATATCTCTATTTCACAGAAATCACCTGATAGGAATTGAGGATTACATTCCAAAATCCATACCTTAGTATGTAAAACATGAACCAAATAAAAATTTAAGAACCGCACTAATAACATTTGTTGAAAAGTTAAAATAATTGACAATAACGCGGTCCGATCTTATGACTTATATCACTGATAAGAATTAACAAAATATAACAATATTACGTACCCACGAAGTTATCAGGACACTGACAATAAGAATGATCTCCGATGATGCAGTTACCGTTGTTTCTACAAGCTAGAGGTCCGAATATGTCACAATTCTTTACGGACTCACAGTACCTACCTGAATTTGGAGTGTTCTTCAGTCAGTACATAGTTAAACAGGATGAATATGGACATTGCGATCATTTAGTTTACCTCCCCACATTTCCGTGTATCAAGTGTCAGACAAATTAAGCTACATTTTATAAAAAATAAGATTCTCTTACCTTCGTAACTGAAGGGACAAGCGCACAAAAAGCCATCCTCTGCCTCAGCATCCAAGAAACAGTCAGCACCGTTCTGGCAGGTATTTTCCTCCTCAGTACAAGCAGTAAGGGAATCCTGGCACTTATCTCCACTGAACCCAGTAGGACAGACACAGGTGATAGCACCGTCCTCATCCTCACACCTCCCATTGTTTTGACAGGAGGTGGGGGTGCAGGAGGAGGTGGAGAGGTGGCACAGCACCCCCGTCTTGTCATCAGGACACGTGCAGCTGAACGAGCCTGCTTCGTCGTTAACACAGGTGGAGCCAGCTTGGCAAGGTACAGCTGAGCAGTAGTCCACTCCAAACGAGAGATCGCATCCTTCACCATGGTAACCGGGGTAGCAGACACATGTGTCCTTTTCTCCGGATACACATTTTCCGTTACCGTGGCAATCTTTAGTACATGCCTGTAAAAGTAAGCGTGTTTATATCTACATCCTGTACATTCAGCTGGAAATTGGATCGTAAACAGTTCCTTGCAAAGTTTAACTGGCAGTGTTTTCAGTGTACTTGACAGGAAATACCAGGAACTACAGTTCTCCCCTAAAATCAAGTCCCTGAAAGACTATAGCTTATCCAGAAAACAATGAAGAACTAACCGCTTGCCCTGCACAGACTATATCGTAGTCAGGACAGCGAATAGTTCCGTCGAAAGCAATGTTATAACTGAGGGCGTTCTGGACTGCGACTGTCGCGCCTGATGTGCACGTGTACGTGTTTTTGCTGACACGAACTGTGTAGCTGTCAACTCCGCATTCAATCTTGGGGACAATTACTGAGTTAGTGTTGAGAAAGAAGGATCCGTAAAAAACAAACTAGACCAATACAGGAACTCAATAAAAACAATCTGTTTCCTCCAATTATTTTTCAGCTCATTGTGCTCAGATAAACACTCACCGGGTAGCAGCCACTAGACTGCTGGGTTGTACCCTGCACGTTACTGGTCCAGTTACCCACATAGTCAAAACATCTTGAAAATCCTGTGTACGCTTCTCCAAATCTATCCAGTTCTGAGGGACGTTAAGTATTAAGTTTGATAAAGGTTACACCTACATATTATACTGCTAAGACCAGTGCTAGGACGACTTTATGTTAGGATTCTAACTCAGTTCATTACTATCATGAATGTATCCAACAACATAACAGCATACAACATAACAACTTTTGCCAAGGAAGCTTATACCCAGTGGCGTAACGTTGCCTGTTACGCACAAAGTAAGTATTATAAGTGTGTTTCTAGAGCAAAACGCGCAGTTTTGCTAGTACCTCAGTTATTTTTTTTCAAAATTGTCCCACATTCAAACGACGATTTGGCGCCCCCCTAAGATGGCGCCCCCCTCCTTCCCCCTGCACAGCGTTACGCCACTGTACCCTATATACGGACTATATCACTACAACAATATTGCAAGCTCCTACTCAATACGGGGATTGACCACCTGAGAACCGCTATTCCCGGTAAAGTCTAAAGAGTACATCATTCCGAATTCTTACGATTTTCCTTCCGATCCAGGATTTCGACTTTTTATTGCTTTTATCACTGAATTTCGAGATTTTCTTGATACATTGCCAAATGTTTACTTCGTATTAAGTTTTCTCTAGATACTTATATCACGTACGTATATTCTTAGATGAAATCATATTATCTTCTTGACAGTTCAGTCAATCGTTTTGGTTCATTTGATAATCTTGAAGTAAACTGATACATAAATCGTTCTTCATCCTACTCAGCAATGCAGTACAACACAACTGAAGCAATGCCAGTCTCAACCACCTGGCCTCACCTAGAAGATCTAAAAGCCCCCTACCCTTACATCGCTCCCGCAAACCTGCTCCTAGCATTGTTCGTTCTCCTCCAAAACACGGTCATCTTCCTGCACTGCTACAAAGACAGGGCCAGGATAGCTACCAGAATGTTCCTGATGATAGCCCTGGTAGACATGCTCTCTGCTCTTGTTGAGATGTTGAGGGTTTGAGTCGCTCTGCCTTGTTTCTACAGACCGAAGGTCAACATTCCAGCGGTGGTGGTGGTCTGGTATCTCTCCGTTGGACTTTCCTGTTACAACTGCTCAATTTCTTTCAACGTGATCCTGGCAGTCGTGAAAACCATCAACATTGTCAACCCTTTTTACATCATTAAAAAGAAGATCGTTGATGGGTTCATGATAGCCGCGACTATCGCATGGTTTGTAATCGGAACTATTGATATCATCCTTATCTACTCGCTTCACAATACGGCCCACTCCTGTTATTCTCATTGGATCCTCCTGTTCGGGTACAATACCCTTGGAGAAGGAATCATGGCCAAGTTCAACCTATCCCTGATTGATGCCTCTCAATCCTACAAAATTACCCTCTACTCCATACCAATGGTGGTCGAGTACTTGGTGCCATGTTTTGTGGTCTTCGTCTGCATGGTTATCCAGATGGTGAACATTAGGAGATCCTTCACCAGCAGTTCAAACCCCCAACAAGACCTCGCAAACCATGTTAACCTCACCCTTTTTCTCGTCTCCATGACCTTCTTCGTTTCGAATGCTGCTTTTTGTTTGTACTGCTTGTGGCCAGGTAAGAATTGTAATACCAAATATTTGTCAACCGCTTACAATAAACCAAAGACTATAACATTAAAAGGAGTTAAATCATAAATGATCTACATTTTTAGCTAGGGTCCTCATTTAGAATGTTTTTCAGGAAAAATGGACGCAGCTGTCTTATTGGTGTTACGATTTTCTCTGCCAAGAATAAACGCTATCGTCTTTCCAATAATCATCATCTTACGGAAGCCAGTCCTGAAGCAATCTTACATTTCTATGATTAAGAGCTTTGCTAACATGCCAGTCAAAGCGACCAAGACTATTTGGTCATTATCGAAAGGGCGGTCAACAACTACATATTCGATCTTATCTGAAGGGCAACTTATCAACAGTTCAATCACGAGCCACTAACTAACTAAGGCTCATATAGCAGAAGATTTTTCAATAAAGTTCAATTAAGTCGTAAACTTATCCGATGAGACTTTATCTAAAACATCATAATTGAACAACAACATTGTAAACAACTTGGGCAACCTAAGAACAACTATTTGAATTCCTTATGCTTGATTATTTTAAAACCTTATTTCTGTAAGTAAAACAGCTTGTATCAGTCCGATGTAACGAATAATGAACTTTCACTTACGAGGTTGTCGGGTTAGGTCAGTGCACATAACATTGTGCTCATGATAAGGACAGCGGTCTGTGTAGACATCAGTTCCAACCGTCGTCTCACCCTCAACATTGTGGGGAAAATCTGTGGATTATATTGGTGTAACTGCTATCGGAAGTACGATTAGGAATGAAGTAAATTCAAAGTGGATCACTACAGTTTGAGAAGTACTCCTCCAACTCACCACTGTCAAAGTTCTGGTACTCATCAGGGACAGTCCCTTCTTCCAGACCAATGTTGCATTCTCCAAACCCTCGGTGATCTGCTGCACACTTGCTTTTTCCTGGCTCCACACAGAATGGCTCCACTTCGTCCGGACTGAAACAGTTTTTATTATGATATCAGGCATTTTGATACGATTTAGAATTTAGATACAACTTAGCTTTGAGTGTATTTTATTTCTGCTTTTTTTTTGGTGCTCGAAAAGTTAATAATTAAAATACATTTTGTTTAATTTATGAGCACATGAACACGTACCTATATCCGCTAGGAGATAGTTGCTCGTAGCAAAACTTGCGAGCGAAGGCACAACCCGCACCTTTGCCCCAGATCAGAGGCTCCGAGAAGTCTTGTGCGAGGTCGTACCAGCCACTGTCCTTGAGGATTGCCCAGGTTATCTTGGAGATCACACCTCGGCCTTTAAGCCCGGCGCTCATCAGCTCGTTCTGAAAGTAGAATTGTTACTGAGATCTGCATATTGATCCACAAACCTCTTAACGCTATTACATATATAAGGTTTTTTTTAACGAGTCACTTGTCAGTTTTTCATCACAGTGGAGAAAACCAGTATTGCCCATATTTATGTTTGGAAGGTGTTGATACTGTGCCAAGTATAAAAACAAACTACCTTACGAGAAATATTAAAAGGTACGAAATGCGATGGTTTTTTTCGGAAAAAAAAACACCATATTTTTGGACTACCAAAATATAGGTCACCACAATTTTTTCCCCCAACTTATTTTTCAAATATTTTCTTTAATTATGACTTTGTCGATTTACTATCGTTATAGTAAGCTATCAATATGATTCATCTAACAAATGAACACTAGTATTACACCTGGGACTACACTGCAGAGAGGAAAGTCCCTAAACCAGAAGATCAAGAAGATCTACAAGAGGAAATTGACTTGTAATTTTTCAAATTTCATATTTTATTTTATTGATTTTCTCAAATATTAAGAAATGAAAAAAATCCCCAAGTACCATGATTTAATTTGGGGTACGAAATGAGTTGGTTTTCGGCAATAATCCCATATTTTCGGTCCCAAATCATTAAGGTCACCGGAATTTCGTACCTTTTAAATATGTCTCGTAAGGTATACATTTTACCACACTGTTACAATACAGAATTACGCCACAAAACATTTATACAGGATATTTTAGCCTGATATCATAAACAGATGGAATTATTTATAATGGCACCAGAGGCACAAATTGTGAACCTAATCCTGTAACAATCTCGCTCACATAGGTACAGTATTAAACGTTGTAAAAAAATAATTTCAAAGATACATTTTCAAACAACTATGTGATAAGATCTGCCTCAGCAGACCAAGGACTTGCCGAAATTTCCACCAGAATAAAAGCTTGCAAATATATTTTTAGAACAAAACAGTTTTACCTTCTTTATTTGTGATATGTCTACAGTAAACTAAAATTACTGTCTTGTTATGACCCCCCTGATAAGTGCACAACAAACCGGGTGTTTAAAAGACATCTCAATAAGAAAATTGGCAAACTTTTAAGAAATAATAGTCATAATTGTAGAAAGATATCACTTATTTGTGTTCACCGCTTCAACCGACTGGGCAAGTGTTGTCGCGAATAAAAAATAGAGTAAAAATAATTATTGTCTTGTTATTGCTTCCCTGACCGCTGCACGACCAACTGATTACGTGGTGAGACGAATGTTGGCAATGTTATAAATATTTTTAGATCTGGGCACGTACGTGAGATGAAAATCAGTTAACCTTAGTCCATCAGAACTTAAGTCTTATGGGCACATGCTTAATCAAGATCTTTATTCTCTACAGCTAGACATTCAGTTACTGTTGACGCTGCTTAGTTTCTTTGAGGTTATGCTCTCCCTCAAGTTTGTGATCGCAGCAAGCTGGGTTTTCAGCGGTTTACTTGAACATTCTATATCAACTTCCTTTACTAAACCGATCGGAATCGATAAAAGATCCCTTAGAAGTCTTAGAGATCAACCATACACTAAAATAAACACTAGGAGATATACTAAAGAAACTGGACCTATTCAGACGTTCAAATTAACGCAACCATCCAACATAGAAAAAGAAACAGGATCCAACAATAATTGCCCTACAGAGACACCGTTAAAGAATGATAAAGATAAGCCACATTGGCTTCTTCCTGTTATCACATCCTGCAACACACTGCTGATAATCCTCAGTCTTATCTTCAACCTCTTCATTCTCACTTACTACTGGACCAACTCTACCAACCTCCCCTCCATCCTCTACCTCCGAAACAGTGTAGTTGACTTTATCAGTGCCATCGGGTTCCTGCTCCAAGTTCCTCTGGTTACAAGAGTTCTAGAAGAAGATGTTACAACAAGTCTGCCTCTGATCAGTTACTGGATAACTACAGTTTCTGTTAGGATGAGTGTCTTCATGAACTGTGTGCTGGGTGTGGTCAGATGTATCAACATTCTCAACCCTTTCTATCCAGTCAACAGAAAGTATGTTACCATTTCCACCCTGGTCTATCTTCTTCTCTGGTCGACAATTACCTCTCTGGATATCTGGACTTACATCACAAAGATTTGTCTCCAAAACAAGGTCTATCTCATCAAATCACTGGTCCTCAAAGCAGAGCCAGGATTTTCACTCACAAGTCTGACAGGATCTACAAACAACACGCGTAGTCTGACCTCATTCTCCCAGGGAGAGATAGTAGTGGCACAGTTCCTCACTCCCTTAGCTCTCCCTGCTCTACTCTGTTTTGTTCTCGTGATAATACAGATCTACTACCTCACCAGGCAGAAAGTTGGGATTACTTCCAACCAGCAACCTGGATCTGGCAAGAAGTCAACACAACTAAGCAAAGTGTCTTCAAAAGAACAGAGGACAGAGAAAAGGAAAAAACCAAGTCCTAACGGTAAAGCAGCTGTCACCATCCTGATTGTGACAACAATATATGTACTGACCTCCATCCTGTCAGTGGCTGTGTGGCTGGTCATCTACAGGACACACCTTGGAAGAGAAGACAAGATAAAGAAACTGTCCTGGACAGAGTTGGGTATGTTCTACATCTCCAGCTCTACTTCACCTCTACTCTGCTCTACTGTTACTGCTCTTACACTTTTTCTGAGGAGCACTGCCATGCAGCGTCATCTTAAAGTAGTGTTTGGGAAATTATTCACAACTAATATATCTCCGGAGCTCTCGATGAGAACTGAAGAATCTAGAATCTAGATAGAAGCGAACTGACATTTTGTGTGCCTTTAGAGTCTTACAGAAAACAATCGGATATGTTTAAAATATGGTCAACAATGTAATTGTAGGGCAGTCGTGAGACAAACCGACCCGAAGAGATTTTTGCCTTATTAAAGACACCACTGTGTGTAAACGATTTTTTAAATACATAAATTATTGCTGCACAACCAACTGATTGTTTGCTGGAACGAATGATAGTAATGTAATAGATGTTTTTAGATCGAGGCAAGAGCGATAAGAGTCAATAAACATTAGTCCTTGAGAACCTATGAGCGCATGCCTAGTTATCTTCGTGATTCTTTATATAACAGGTGTTTATATGCGCTCCCACTAAATCGCACGCCCAAATTTAAAGAAAATCCTTGTGAAAGGGCCCTGAAGGCTCAAAAGTAATCTGGTTGGTGTATTTTTGGACGCCGATTCCGAATCACCCCCCATGACGTAGGGTAAAAATGCTTCCCTGGAAAATTATCGGCAAAAAACTGGTTTGTTCACGTGACAGGCTAGTAAGACACGAAATTGATTGTTTAGGGCTCGGGTTAGGGTTAGGGTTGTGGTTAGGGTTATGGATAGCTTTGGGTTTATGGCTAGGGTTAGAGTTGGGATTAGGGTTTATGTAAAACCATTTTGTTCGGCTGCAAAACCATAAAAACCAAAGTCACGTGATAATTTTTGGGCGAGCGAATTAGTAAGAGCCGATTATATGATCTATTGTGTACTTCCAGCTAGACTTTCAGTCATTGTTAATGCTGCCTAGTTTCTTTGAGGTTATGGTCACCTGCAAGTTTGTAATCGCAGCAAGCTGAGTTTTCTACTCGAACATTCTACATCAACTTCGGTGGGAATACAATTTTACCACACTCTCATAATAGTTTTAAAATACCAAATTACTCCACACGAAACATTTATACAGGATACTTTAGCCTGATATTATAAACAGATGGAATCATTTATATATATGATGGCACAAATTGTGAACCGTTGTAAAACACTAATTTCGAAGATACATTTTTAAACAACTTTGTGATTACATCTGCCTCAGCAGACCAACGATTTGCCCAAATTACCACCAGAATAAAAGCTTTCAAATATATTTTTTGAACAAAACAGTTTTACCTTCTTTATTTGTGATATGTCTACAGTAAACTAAAATTATTGTCTCGTTATTACCCCCCTGATCACGACAAACCGGGTGTTTAAAAGACATCTGGGGGGGCCAATGGCATAAAATGGCATAAAATGGCATAAAATGGCATAAAATGGAGACTTTTTCTATGGAGAAAATGGAAAAACCCATGAGTAATTCTCCATTTTCTCCATTTTATGCCATGAATTTTGTCTTCGAAATTTCATCTTTAACACCATTTAACACCTAAATTGGACATCCTTACATGTTTATTTACGCTTACTAGGGGCGTAACAAGCTTATGAAAGCTCATAGTAGGCTACTAGATGCTTATACTAGGTTAGTAGAGGCACACTTCAGGCAAACTCATAATTACTCAAGCCTAGTGTAAAGTTATTTCTACAGGCTACAGCAGGAGTGAGTAATAGGGGAGAGTAATAGGCACTGAGAAGTGAGACCTACATCCTCGACAGTCGAAACAAGCTCGCACTGCAAAGGGGAGGCCTACCTTCCGAGATCGCATTACCAGGGGGAAGCGTCGAGTCCAAATTTGTGTATCGAGGGGTAGGTGCAGACTTCGATAAACCGAAAAACCAAAAAATATTTTCGGCTTATAATGAAGAGGGTAGCATGAAACGTAGAGAAAAGTGGTTTTTAGAAAAACTTTGAAAAATTTTGACTTAGAAAATTTTCGGCCCGAGTCATTCTTGATACGTACCTCTCGTATCGAGAGCTCCCGATTCCGAGCTCGTGTTGCAAAGGGGAGGCCTGCCTTCCGAGATCGCATTACTTCGAGTCCAAAATTGTGTATCGAGGGGAAGGTGTGGACTTCAAATTTTTTCTGAAAACCGCTTTTCTCCACGTTTCATGCTACTCTGTTCATTATTTGCCGAAAATATTTGTTCGGTTTTTCGAAGTCCACACCTTCCCCTCGATACAAAATTTTGGACTCGAAGTAATGCGATCTCGGAAAGCAGGCCTCCCCTTTGCAACACGAGCTCGGAATCGGGAGCTCTCGATACGGGAGGTACGTATCGAAAATGACTCGGACCGAACATTTTCTAAGTCAGCATTTTTCAAA